CAAATTATTTAATTATGTATTAATGACAAAAATTAGTTTTTTTTTAAAAAATTATATCATCACATAAAAAAAGCACGTAATTTTTTAAATTCATTATACAATTTTATAGTTTAATTTTGATAATTTATGACAATATTTAATTGTTAAAATTTATTCTCACGTTTTTATATAAAAAAAATATCGGTTAATATGCTTACTTTAAAATTCAAAATCAAAACTATAAATTAAAATAAAATAGTTTAACGCCAATTAATCTACCCATTTAGTAGTGTGTGTGATTGTATGGTTGTGTGTATATAGTTTCACCAACCCACTTATAATTGCATCGATCTTTTCCTTTTGCTACTAATTTATAATTATCAATGTCTTAATATTGTTTATTGAAAATTTAAAAGTCAACAGAGATATATACTTTAGCTTATTTGTGTGGTCTAAAACAAAGAATTTCGATGACTTTTAGACTAGCATATATGTTTGAGCTATTTGTCATTGAAAAATAAAGTAAATAAGAAAGAGGTTATGTTTAGCAAAGAAGACCAAGAAGTTACCCCTCAAAGCAAAAGAGGAGAGGTCAATTATTAGTTCCAACATGGGTGCAGCTATTCAAGATGACAGAGAGAAACAACAAAATTAATTAATCACCTTCTTAGTGGCTTAGATTAACGAAATCATTGAAACCCTTTTATGATAATTTCTGAATCAAACTAAAGCTTATTATAGATTATATTTTGGTCAGCTATGTTTCCAATGTTCAGAAAGAGGAATCATGGCCAACTATGAAATTAAGGCCACTCAAGTCAGTGTCCAATCATGCACTTTCTTCATCCCAAATAACCTAGTAATAAATTATTTTTAAGAGACACTATTAATATGTGTTCTCAAAATGCTTTTTAAAAATTATAAAAAGTTTTGTTGTACATGTTTAAGGTGTTTTTAAAAAAATTAATTAATTTCTTAACTATTAGTTTTAGGACATTTCTTAATATAACAAGCTCCACATATATATAATTGTTAATTAATAATAAAAATTATATTAAATGGAATTGTTACTGTAGCATTTATTTTTCTTGAACCACGTACTATTGTTGTTAAAGCAATTAAGTCGAAAGCTAAATTTAACTCAATTTATTCTTTATAAAATAAGAACTGAGAACTTGCACATAAATTTGTAGGTACATGTGAGTAAATAAAAAGACTCTTACTATCTATATTTAAACTACTAAAAATGTATACCATATATAATATTTTATACAATTATTTTTTTTTCACTTATTTTTATGCATGCATCCTAAAACTACTAAAAATATATCATATAAGCATAAAAAGACACCTTTAACAGCAAAAGACATCAATTTGGGTGTTAAAAGCTATGTCACTTCATATAATTAATGTATGAAATTTGTTTATATTTTATATTTTTGAATAAAAAAGTTATAAACATTACTATTATATGTTATCGAAGCACACATAAAAAAAAAATCATAGATTATACTATACTACGTACTATTATGGAGAGGCGCTAACATGGAAGCATGTGAAGAGATATTTGAAAATGTCGATGAATGGTTGGTATCACACAGAAAACTCATTATTTGATCACAGATACACTTTGCTGCTGTGTTTTATTTTATTCCAAACTACAATTTAGTGGCAAGATCCATGTAAGACCCTTCCATTCTTTCAGGGGCTGTAGTTTAGCTTTCTATTATATTATTTTACAGCATTTTTCACTATACCATTGAGTAATATCTTATTGATTGACCCAATTTTTGTAACAAATAAATGGAGAATCAAATAAAGTTTTAAACTATACAAATAATGAATAACTTTTATTTGTTTATTTTTCAGAGATTGTTGTCCCCTTGACTTTTTTAGCAATAATAATAATAAATGTTAAAAATTGGCATTTTCAAGTTAAGAATCAAAAGCAAAAATATAAAGCCAAATTAGTTAAGAGATTTAACAGTGAGTTAAAAATAAATAAATGTTAATATCAACCTTCAAAACTAATTAAAAATAATTTAAAATGATACTTTGTTAACAAAAATATTTGTTCAATAAAAAATTAAAAAATAATTATAAATAAGTAATTCAGTTACTATTTATTCAATTATATTCTTAAACAATAATCCATGTAATGATTTTTAATCAAGATTTGAAGATTTTTTTTCAAGATAAACATATCATTAAAATAAACATAATTTTTCTTAATAAAATGTTTTTTCATATACACAATCTTAAACAGAATTTAAAAAATTAATTTAATAATAGAGTACTACGTAATGGAGCAAACTGCATAATGACATAGTTAATTATCTTAAAGAGTTAAAAAATCATTTAATAAAATTATTTTTAACTTATAAATTTTATATGAAAAATCTTAAACGACAATGAATTTAGAATAGATGGAACAGTGGAAAAAAGATAGCGAAACGTGTTTGATTCTCTATATTTGACCTTAAATTATTGCAAAGTTAGGAATCTTTCTCAATCTGTGTAAAAAATATCACCGCTGAATGCATGACAATCAAAAATTGAACAAAACAGACACATAAAACATCAATACAAACAAAAGAACAAACAAGTTTTATTGGAGAAAAGTAAATAAATAAACAAGTAAGACAATCACAAGTAGGATATCTGTGACCAAATCCATAGGCTTATTTATTTAGCATATAGAGTTTTGAGATAGAAGAAGAAACACACCAAATTAATAAACATAACTAAAGCGAGTAGTTTTCAATTATTGAATGTTAATAATAATTCAGTTTGAGTTTTGTTCATCAATTCAACTCCTTTTAATATTTATTTTTTCTACATAGCTTCTCTTTCTAATCTCAAAATATGATAAAAAAAAATGTGCTATCTTAGAAGTAACATTTTCTTTTTTTCCTTTAGGGCTGAGCAAAAGGCACCATTTACCATACCAAATCACATTCTTTTGTGAACAGACTTCAGAGAGCTTGACCAAAAACAAAAAGGACAATTTTATGCATTTTCGGGGCTATTTTTATATTATTTTCAGTTGAAATTAAAGTTTTGCTTCAATAAAAAAAAATCTAATATTATTACAAATTATTAAGACAAAAATTTAATTTTAATTAAAAAATATCTTAAAAGGGTACTATTAAGTTCTGTCCAAACAAAAAAGACCTGAGGGTGTCTTTTGGTCCGTCCTTGTGAAGGAAAAGAAAAAGATCATATTCATACAATATTATACAATACAATATTTTTTTTTAATCTTTTTCTATTATGTTACCTATCTTATTTTGTATTTGTCTTTCTTTTCTTTCAATTTATCTCTTATCAATATGAATTGTTGTACATTTATTTCTCATACAAAAATGGTCAACTCGAACAATTAGTCAATTACCCTGTGAGTGCATGAAAGGGCACACAGTTCTCACACGTTGGGTTAGTGAGGCCTTGTTGCAGAGAACGATACGCAAATAGTATGCTAACTTGGGGAATACGCATTCATTCCTAACATCATGCCCTCACTCTTTCAAGGTTTGCTTTCTCATTGGATTCACCCAACTTTGTCTGTGCAAATAATTTCTATTTTGGGACATTTGTCTTCAGAAATTATTATATTTCCTCGGAACCAAAGCAAAGCATTTTTTTTTCGACTTTAGTCCAACATATAATCAGTTTAATTATAATATTAAGGACTCGCTTGATAAATAAGAGAGGGTAGGATATGAAAGATAAATAAAGTTTAAATATGACAAGAATAGGATTGACTCTTATTATATTTTTTATTTGATGTGCATTAGAATAATAAAATAAATAATATTATGTCATCGTATTTAATGTTTAAGATAAATAAAAATATAATAAAATAAAACATAAGTTAATATTAAAATGATATAAAGTATCATTTTATTAAAAGTAAAATAATTTTAAAATTTTTAAATAGAAATATATAAATTAAAAATATAAGATTATTTAAAATTTAAATTACTTGTATACAAATATATTATTTGAACAATTTTCATGAGAATTTAATTTATTTTCCTTTTTATCGAGGCTCAATTCATTCATCGTTCAACTTTAACTGTTAACCCATGTTCAATATACATGTTGAGCTCCACAAGATTATCACACTTTTTTTTTCGTTAGTTTGCTTCATACTCTCCCCCCTAAAAGTCATAGATATAATGTAAAAGTGTATCAAAATGTGTATAATGACACAAGTTGTCACAATTAATATATAGTAGTAATGTTATATTCTCTTAAAATATCATAATAATACTTATAATACATAAAGAAAAAATAGATTAAAAAGTAAATGCATTTAGTAGTATTTATGAGGATTTTACACAGAACTTAGAAGAATTATCCTTAACAACATAGTTAATCAAATACCTTTCCTCAATGACCAAATTTAATGTTTCAATTTGACTGTTGTAATAATCAAGACTTATGATTAAGTTGAAAAAACACAATTTACAAATTACCTAAAAAAAGTTGCAAAGTTTAAATAATTCCTATTCAACTAATGGATATCTGCACACATCTTCTAGTTACCGTAATTACTATTCCCCAGTAATTACGGTTGATAGTGTTCTTGAAAATTATGGTAGATCAAATGCCTCTTTCGAAAACAAAAGGTGCTAGTATTAAAATATATACTTTCATGCCTCTTTATTAAAATATATCCTTAATCCTATATACTTTCATAAAAATCAGCAGATAGGAGATAAAACTAGATTTCGCATTACGTTCACCCTTGATGTTATTCTTGAGTTTGAGTTCCTGTTGCCTTATCAACGCTATAAGGTATGTAAAAGGCGTGCGCATGCGTGTTTTACCACCCTTTTGATCTAACTTCCGATCAGCTTAGGTTTACAAGGACAACAGCACACCATAAATCCCCAAGAACTTGGTACGATCTCTCCTATCTGAATAAAAACACATCACATTCATTCCAAGAAATAGGGTGCACACGTACCCTCCATGAGACAATTGAAAACCACAAATTCAGCCCAAGAAACTGGGCGTACACAAACACGTCATTGAATTAAAATTAAACCCCTCAAATGATGGGCAAAAGGCGCGCACACGAACCAGGATTGAAGTTTTTTCATTCTCAAGAACTTACATGATCTACGTCAAATAATGTCTGCTTTAAGCTAATGAACATTACCGGGTCTCAATGTAGCAAAGAGACAAGGTTGGTGTAATCCTCCATATCAAATACCTGATTTACGTTTTAATTTTAATTCAACGCCAGTGTTCACAGGCTTTGTTCGGGGTTAGATTAACACGGGCTTTACAAGTCTTAGATTGTGAACTAGACAATATCGGCTTTGGTGGAGGACATTTACTTGTCAACTGTTTTCTGAAATTTGGACCAAAAATTATCTCAAATATACAATAAATAAATAAGCTGATATATCAATCCAATCACCAAAAGATAAACAATAGAATAACATCCCTCCCGAACAGCCCTTGAATGATAGATCAAATTGTAGATGAGGTACGACCAGTCGATGCCAAGTCTACTAATCAAATACACAAATCAAAACTGAGTTCCGATCAAGGTCATCTTGCATTTCTCATGCTCCTGAAGTCAATAGAGGAAAATAAAATTAAGTTCCAACAAAAAAGGATTAGCAGCAACATATCTGCAAAATGCATATATCAAAAACGAATCAATGCCAACAGAATTCCTTGCCATTTATGATAGGAGAGTTGCCAAGTGTTACTGGTGTCATGGGCTATAGTAGCCAAAATAGTGTGTTTCTGGTGTCATGCCATTTAAGCAATGACTTTTTAGTAGAAATGACGAATATCTGAAGTTAAGTGTCGAGTATTTATTTCGTACTAGGAATTATTTGCTTTGTATCTCTGCTATAATTTGTGTTGCAGCCATTTCATAATCCACTAAAACAAAAGCATTATTGGGGCGGGCCACTTGACACTACCACCCAAGATTAACTACTTTGGTACTGGCTACAAATTATGCAGTATCCTGCCCGCACTTTCCCCAGAAAATAGCAGGTAGTTATGTGGAGTGCCAGCTAATGGCTTGAAGCAGAACATACCTGTGTATGATTATTTTACTGAGATGAGATTTAAACACAACTTCAGGTGACTCAATCTTGAGGTTTCATAGCAGGGAAGAGAAGAACCTCCTGTAACCAAAGGGCCAAAAGATTGTTAAAATTTGCCAGAATAAAGTGAGCACGCAGATAGAGAGAGCAAGAACCTTAATATTCTGTGAATCAGTCAGTAACATGGTCAACCGATCAATACCCAAACCCCAACCACCAGTAGGCGGCAAGCCATACTCCAAAGCTGTACAAAATGTTTCATCTAAGGCCATTGCTTCATCATCACCTGATTGCCGATCCTGACATGTAAATCAAATAAAAGTTACTAGTCTTGTTTTATATAAAAAATGCCCTACAATTTGAGCATAGTATATAGCACAGTTGTATCACATCCCATACCTTGAGTTGTTCAGCAAATCTCTGGCGCTGCACTACAGGGTCGTTCAATTCAGTATATGCATTGCAAAGCTAAAAAATAACAGTGGTCAGAACTTAAGCATGATTCTGTGTTTTTTAAAATAATAATCGCCATATGTCATGAACTTACTTCACGTTTATTAACAAATAATTCAAAACGTTCAGTCAGGCCTGGTTTTGATCTGTGCCACTTTGCTAAAGGACTCATTATCTCAGGATGGTTTATAATGAATGTAGGATTTACACACGTTTCTTCCAAAAAGTGCCCCACAAGCTGCAATACAGAAAAAATACAATTACATTTTATGCAGACACCTCATAAGAGACATGAACAAAATGAACAAAATGCAAATTAGAATTGCACATACTTAAAACTGAACCTATGCCTATAATCAAGAATCAAAATGAAAACAGAAAGCTGTACAGGTAAAACATGAAGCGGGATAAAAAAATAGTAGACAAGAGTTGTACCCATCCTAACTAAACCAGCAGTCGCATTATTCTCACAGAATTTGATGATATAATTCACTGACTTTATCACATTAGCTTTTTACTGGAACTTACAGCTATATTGCTGGAATGACTTGATGGTTTTCAGAGTAGATTGTCTATATCTCCCGCTCCCTCTCTACCATTCATTTCTATTTCATTATCCCAACCACAACATAAAAAAACTAATGCTTTTTTATATAAGGATTGACCTTATCCAGGTCTTATCTGTTTTATAACCATCTTAAGTCAGACTGTAAGGATTGACACCTTGTGAGTTAGGCCTTGTCTATTAAGAGTAGGATTTATAACCTGTTGGAATAGGGATTAGTTAGACTATTAAAAATAGAGCCACAAGAAGAAAGAGGAAGTTAATTGGTGACAATTAGTTTTGGGTGGGAGAGACAAGGATCTCAAATTCTTGGGTGTTATGACACAGATTGATAACTAGTGATTTGATCAATAAAATCTCATTTCATTCTAGTTTCTGATCTAGTTTCCATCATAGACCTGCAACTCCACAAGCAGCATTACACAGAAAATACCACGGTTAAAAGGGTATTGAAAATTTTAACCAATTCAAACACAAAAAGACAGGAAATCTGCTTTAACCTAAAAGGAAAATTAAAAAAATGATATTATAATAGGGGATGTAAAAGGAGGTTACTTTATCCAACAATCGAGCAGTTGTTTCTGGGGGAGGACATTTGATGTCATACTTCAAGCATGCATCCTTCAGATATTGATTAGCTTCCTCACTTGACAAGTCTTTGGGAATACTGAGGCCTGCCAACTTCTCTAACTCATCAATCATGTCAAGCCTTCTGAAAGGAGGAGTAAAGTCAATTTCAATAGGATCCTTATCAATCCCATCAGCATGATACTTGATTTTGTAGCTGCCTTTTGTAAGTTCCTTGACCATACCTATTTAATGGTTTCCACATAATGAGATTAAGCAGGTGACTTGAAGATAAGATATATGAAAGATAATCAATATGACAATCAAAATGCCTATTAAATTCTCACCACTCAGCATTTGTTCTGTTATTTCCATTAAGTCATTGTAGTCCTTATAAGCCATATAGAACTCACAGGTAGTAAACTCAGGATTATGGGTCAAATCAATGCCCTCATTCCTGAATTGTTTACCAATTTCATAAACACGATCCAGCCCACCAACAACCAACTCCTTAAGATAGAGTTCTGGAGCAATTCTCATGAATAACCTCATGTTAAGATCATTGTGATGGGTTACAAATGGACGTGCAGCAGCTCCACCTGCAATCATGTTCATCATAGGTGTTTCGACCTGAAAGTGATGAAAAGAAGTGGGTGAATGGAAGGAAAGGTACCATAGGATCCAGTATCAAAATAATCAGACACAGAACAAACCTCCAAGAAATCAAGGTCATCAAGGAACCTCCTAATGTAAGAAATGATTTTAGACCTTGTCTTAAATATTTCTCGAACCTCTGGATTAATCATCAAATCCAAATGGCGTAACCGATATCTTGTTTCCTACAAAAACATATATAAGTAATTGCATAAAACATGTTACTACTATTACATAACTAATGAATTTTGAGGGGGGAAAGCAAACAGGAGATAGTCAAAAAGAAATCTTCAGTCATCCAAGCATGTTTAATCATAAAAAGCCCATAAATTATAAAAATATAAAGAAATACAGAATATGCTTAACAGCAACAAGTATACATTTAGGAAAGGTAATTCATAATAAACATGTAAACTGCACACAGAAAAATTGTGAATAACAATGAAAAGTTTCCATCTATCTATCTCAATTCATTTCCTAGCCTTAACCCTAATGACCAAGTGTAAATCACAATCCAACATTATATCAATTACATATGCGGTTTCACCTCTCATTACCACCATGCTAAAATTGGTTCCAAGAACATGAGAGATTATATGGCACAAAAGTTTTCGAAAAAGACCAAAAACAGTGAAAGTATCTATCAGAGTACATTTCAGGTCAATAATACCTGATCTTTTAAAATGTACATTTCAGGATTCCTGGTACTTCCTGGTACCCATGGATTTCTCTGCAAGTCAATAAAGTAACAACATTATCACATACAGTCATCAAACAGCATCAAACATTAAGGAATTCGTCTGACCTTCAAATTAGCATTATCAGCAGCAGCCGCAGACTTTTGCCTTGGCATCATATGCAGACAATGAGACAGCACCACAAAAGTCTTGGGGAAAATACTAAGCTCACCCTTCTTACTTTTGCCTGGATAATTACACAAGGGAAAACAGAAAAAGTTGTTGATTACAGAATAAACAAATTTATAATTCAGAATACAATACTGTAGAAAGCATCCAACCTAAGGAATATCAAAGTAAAAAAATATAAGCCTGATTAGAAAATTTTATCCCTTTGTAATTAGAAAGTAAAAAAAATATGGCTCCAAATTTTGACAATAAGCTAATATTTTCAAAGTGATTCATGGGTTTATATTATAAAGTCCCCAATTGTCTGAGTCACACAATGCCGCATAACTTCCCTAGTCTTGAGATAAAACCATGTAATAATATACAAACTAACAGAACAGATATTTTTATTTTAACTTATTTCTTCATTTAAAAAAATAAAATTCCTTAAGATATGGTTAAAGTTGTAAAATTAGAAACAGGAGTACAGGACCTTATATGGAAGTAAGAGTAAAAGACAGCAAATAAAAAGATCAGACAACTGAAATTTTGTAGCATCCCACACCTGGAAACCCAGTGATACCAACAATATCACCACGCTTCACATTAGAATGGAATTTGGAAAACTCAGCTTCATCCAAGTCTGACTTACTGCATTGCAGAGATAACAGTTATTTCATCTGTCCTACTAAAATCAAACAAGATAAAAAAAATATAGGATATACAATAAGAAAAAGACAACATTGTGAAAGGATTAGAAATAATAAAACATTATCATAATTTGACAATTCAAATAGAAATGGCTACATCTTAGTCAAACACCAACTTAACAATGAAAACCACAGACATGACATTTTAACAAGAAGTACCATAGAATGTCAAATTATAATGCAACCCTATACAATTACATTTGCGATATTAGATTTATTATCACTAAATATCTATCCTTTATAACTCAAGCTACATAGAACCAAGACAGAGTAGTATGAAGAACAACACGCAAAATTGATGGTACCAAATTAAGATACTTCCCTTCACTACATAAATTTAGCCTATTGTCTGTGTAATAAAACTATGAATTATGATATAGGGCCCAAAAGGATAATGCAGGTTATTCTAGAGTGTAAAAAAATTGCATGTCCAGACTTCAATTAGATATTATTTCAGATTATATAATGTATCATTCACTAAGTTTAATCCTTTAACTAAATGTTCTATATTGGATAATATGCTCCTTCACTTGGTTCAACGACATCAAGCACCTCAAAAGTACTCTGCTCTGTCACAATCAATACGACACAATCTGAAATTAACTAATTAAATTCAACAGCACAAAATGACCACGTGTAAAGTCAAAGAACAACATTGGGTACCTGGCATCAGCCATAACCTGAACCTTGAAACCTCCACCATGCAGATCATAAAAGACAAGCTTAGAACCAGATGCACGCTTGTGCATGATTCGGCCTGAAATGCAGAGAGATTATTAGAATCAACATACACAGCAACAAAAGCAACATCCAAAGATAAAACTATCAATGCAAAAACATCTAACTACCAGCCAAGGAGACAGAGACATCATCCAGGTGCTGCCCATCCCTTAAACCTCCATACTCTTTGATGTATTGATCAATAGACATAGTGATATAGAACTTGTGCGGATACGGATTATTCCCTTCCGCCTTTTGAGCTGCAAGATACTTAAGCCTGTTCTCAAGGTATTGCTGCAATGAAAAACCCCAAAAATTACCCCAAAAAAATAAAGTAGTTCATACAATATTCCATTTCGGTGACAAAAGTGAAGCTATACCGTTGGGTCCATATCTTCATCATCGGCAGTTGCAGATTTGTTATCTTTAGCCTTTTGCATTTCAGCTGCCTACAAAAATAAAATAATATATATTATACTAAAAATAAGAAATTGAAATTCAAATGCAAAATATATGCAATCCCACAAAACCTTACCGACACATGCAAAATCCAAATTTGGGGGAAAAAAACAATTTCACCGCTAATCGAATGTTACATTACACGATGAGAACTGAGAAGTACCTTTTTGGCCTTCTCCTCCTCCTTGCGTTTCCTTTCTTCTTCTTTCTGCTTGTTCTTCAGTTCCCTCTTCAGTGCACTGCGCAAAAAGACACAGCAAATAGAAATGAAAAATGAATTCAGTTGTGAATTAAATTTTGCATGCAGAAAAGGATGTTGAGCACTAACTTCTTGCTTATGGTTTCACCGGCACCGGCGCCGGTAGTCGGCGGCTCCGAAGGATGTTCCATTGGGGAGGAGAAAGAGAGGAGTTGGATGAGAGAAGCGAAGGAGAGTGTGAGGAATTAGGGTTTTACAAAACGGCGCTTCTCTGTGTTATATATATCCGACGACGTTTGTTTCTAACTTAGTAACTGTGATGCTAGGGGCTTCAGGACTTTCACCTGCTATTTGTTCTTTCTTTATATCTAAAAATTAATTTAATTTTCTATTATATTCTTGTTTAATATTATAAATAATTACTCAGTTAAATATTATGATTATCTTTTTTCTGCATATCCAAATAATGTGTTTGTAAGAAGTTAAATGATAATAAATAAAATAATAATTTTTGAATGTGCATAAATTTATATATGATAAATTTTTATTAGGAGTCAGGTAATTCAATTTATTAATACATTCAATTGTATAAATTTTAATAAAATTATAATATATCGATTTTATTCTTGTATTCTTAGACATATATTAAAAATATTAATAAAATAAATAGAGATTTAAGAAATATATTTTAATTAAGATATAATAAAATTGCACATGATTAAAAATTTCCTATTATATATTACACTGAAAGAGTATTCTTTTGCTTGAACATCAAGCTTCTCAAATTTCCTGGAAAATGTCGTGCTTTCCCTTCAAAATTTTTAAAATCATTCTTTCGCTTTGACGTCAAGAAAGTTGAATGTAGCAAATATTTTATATAGTGTATGAATATTTATAAATATTCGTAAAATATAAAGCTAAAAATATTTATTAAAAATATTTTGTGGATAATATAAATATAAATGAAAAGTAAGTAATAATTGGAGAAGTTCAAAATAATAAAATATATATAATAATTAGGTTGACACTTGGTATTACAAAAATTAGTAGTTAATCATGTAACGTATAAATGAGCAAATCATTTTATTAAATTAGAAGTTGTGAATTTTAGTAGAAACATTTCAACCAATAATAAGTTATATTATAATTAATTTTGTTAATCTTTCTTTTCATTTTTTAAATATTTTCATATTTTGTTTAGTGCTGATTTTGAGGTTTAAGAACTGTATTTTCTTTTTTAAAAAATATTGGTTTTGAATATGAGATACTTTATAAATTTTAAAGATTATTAATTTTTATATATTTATCCATTGTTGTTGAACGTTTCCAACTTCTTGATAATTAATACAATAGAATTAAAAATAAAGTTGAAATATTATAATTTTTTAAAATTAATATATCAACTACTTTTAACAATTTTTCTTAAAGAGAATATATTTTCAAGTCTTGAGAATTTCTCAGGTTGTATGTGTACCCTGTATATATAATATTCAAATATCTTGACATAAATAATTATTTATGATAAATTTTTATGTTGTGAAAATTTAAAGTAAAATTGAATTTTAAGAATTCAACGTTAATGTAAAAAAGTTAATGTTATAATAAAAAAAATTAAAAACACTTTTATTGAAGATTACTTCTAAATGTATTTAAATTTAAGAATGAAGATTAATCTCTAAAAGTATTTTAATTTAAGAATAAAAATTAAGATATAATACAGAGGAAGATAAGAGTTGATTGATCAGTAATAGATAGAATGAAAATTAATTTCTCATTGCTGTATAAGAAATGAAACATTTATAAAACTTCACTCACACTATTCTATATAAATATCAAATTTGGGTTCTCTCAAAATTTACTTCATAATTTCAAAGTAAAATATAAATTGATTATTTTGTTAATACTTATTAACTTTACATTACCCTAAATATTTCAACTAGATCAAATCTTTAGAAAAAGCGTGATATACCAAATTGTTGGTGTCAGTAATGAAGGAAAAGAGATCATCACAATTTAAATTTTTACAAGATCTTATAAGGTTTTAAAAAAAACATTTATCTTTCTATTAAATGTTAAATCTAAATAATACTATCAAAATTTATATAAAAAAGGGAGATAGATATAAATTTTCATTTTACAATGTCATCTAGACATATAGAATTTATCACAAACAAAATTAGTATTCAATGTACACAGTATTTATAATTGTCAAATTTCGCCTAATACTTCAGATATAGCAAAGAAGCACCATTTCTTCAAAAAATATGCCACTGCATTTTCATCTAACTAAAGGTATGAGGAAGTACTCTGCATAAAATAGCTGGAACAAGAGAGCAATTCAAACAAGGTATCAGTAAGAGCTAATAACGTGCTCCACTTTATGTGTAAATATGTGCATGTTAAGCTATAGATTAGCTTGGCCCTTTGAGAAAGCTAAAAAATGATATTTCTTAAAAAGAGTCAAACCAAGCATGCTTTCAAACATTGCATATTTGTTGGAACATGTTTACTTTGGTTTGTGAAGACAAGGATAAGGGGGAGAGTATTATAGGTCTTGGATAATTAAACTAGAAAATTTGTCACAATAGTTTGGAACTTCCTTTTTCAAGTATTCTTAATTAAATCCATCAAGTTTTCAAACTCTAGAATCTTTTACAACCATGATATATTTACTAGTTGTAAGACTTTTTTTTACAACTACCAAGATAATTCCAGAATTTTCATACATCCATGGAGTTCTAGAATTTTTACAAGGTTGGTGATTACCTTCCAGATAAACATGTAGAAAGATGTTATGGCAGATTTGCTTTTCAGATCTACAGACTTGGCATGAAACCAGAGGACTGAAGCCAAAAGGGCATGTCCCATACCCTAACACAAAAGTGAGAATAAACTTCAAATTTTTCTGAAATGATCAAACATGCCCATATTCACAATATAAATCAGTCTATAGTAAAGGTCAGGATATTCCATGTAACAGAAAAATTGCAAATCCAAGGTAGGAATTTCCTTATTTTAGTATGCTCAATACACTATATGTGCATTAGTGAAGAAGCACCATTTTCAAACTTCTAGAAGACAATTATAAAAAGGTAGACAATTGCATAATTGAACAACAACTACAATGTGAAGAAGCAGCATAAGATGGAAAGAGAGTATGTGGATGAAAATCCTTGAAACTCACTATTCTACAAACTTGTTTACCAAAATCATATTCATATCCTTTAGACACAAATTATGAAATGCTTAAGAGGTAGAAGGATATTGCAAATCCATAATTAGCACATTACCGTGATCATTTTGCTCCAAAGGCAAGAAGATGTTACTCCCACCAAAAGGGCAACACCATAAGTCATTTCAAGAAGTGAAACACAAATCCAGAATACCTGGCAGATATTAATTATGGAAAACCATGGACACATACATGAGGGCACAATCAAGTCTACTAAATATTGCATGAGAGTAACATACCCGTTTCTGACCCAAACGCACAGAAAATGATCGAATGCCAAATATTTTATCTCCTTCAATGTCAGGTATATCCTATATATGAGAGCCAACAAAAGGTAGCTTTTACATTTCACATCATGTAACTATTGGACCAAAAGTCTGTTATTGAAAAGACAAATGCATTGTTAAAAAAGAAAAATAGAAAGATTTTACCTTGAACAATGCTATAACTACAGAGAAGAAGCCCATGAATGCCGTAGCAAAAATCAGTGATCTTGAAAAGATAGCTGGCCTCTTGTACACATAGGTCTGCACATTTATACACTTATATTAGCAACCAGAAAACCTTAGGACCTGTCTGGTTTGTGCAAATGTTTTCTGTTTTTTTCAATGTTTTTTGTATAAATCTTAAAAAAAACAAACAAACAAAATGACAACTTCAAATTAAAAAAAAAAAAACGTTTTCATAACCAAACAGCTCCTTAAATTTCCTAGAAAAGAAGATTTGTGAAACTAAAATGTACTTGTCAAACATGTCATGAACACTACTACTACTGCTACTAGCTAAAAGCCTAAAAATGCACCCAACACCTTTTTTTCACCCTACTTTCTTTCTACCTAAAAGCGTTAATAAGGAATATAGTCTTACCTAGGAGGCTACAACTACATGGTGAAATGGTTTAACTCAACTAATCTACGCCAAAAGTTTGGATAAAAGATTTGTTATTGCTGTTATGGGTAAGAATGTCAATGCATGCACACAATTCAGTAGAACTGTAAGACCTGCACATGAAGGAAAAATGCAAGTTGAACTATTACTGCCCGAACAGCAAGGATGCACGTGGCTGCAAGCACTGCAAATCTCTTCCATCTCAACAGGGGCAACTGAGAAATTTCATAGACAGAGGCTATTAAAAAAAGGTTATAATTATCTAATAAAGTTTCCAAACTGAGAATTTCAAGAAGCTACAATCCGAATGTAACTGGTAAAAGAACATGCTAGTGCCACTGTTTTAACTCTCTAATCCAGAGTTTTCATCATAAATGGAAAATTAAGAGAAGTACAATATTGTGTAACATTTTTTTGTCTTTAATTTTGGCCCTTCTTTTTTGGGCTTCTCATATCCTTAAAAGTACAACCTTCTCCAATTAGCTTCTATACTCCAATTTTTTGAGCTTTTATTCATTAAAATAATATTAAGGGTCCTCCTGGCAAGTGTCCTAAAAGCATTGGTTTAGGAATCAATAAATAAAAAACTTTTATTAAAAATCACATTGAGAATGCATTAGAAATCACAAGATGAGGGCAACATTATATTTTTCAATAAAAAAAATTAATTTATTATTTTTTAACCAGTACCCTTAAAATTTTGGTTATCATTTTTTGTTTGAATATTAAAGAGATTCTTCGAAATTGTATCTAACCCACCTCTCCTTTCAAGGGTAAGAGAAGCTAAAGTTGTCCAAGTGCTACTAACACGTGTTGATTTTGAAATGAACAAATTGTACAATGAGCCTTATTAATTATCCCCTGAATAATATTAGAGGACAAAGAAGGTTTGAATACCATCCAAATGAACTCACATCGATTGAATAAGCAGTCCCCAGCACAAAACTGATGAAAAGAGCCCAAAACAATGGCCATGAACCTACAATCCACCCAAGCCAAAAACTCTGGAAAAGAGAATAAAAAATGATAATCTTTCCTTCTACCCTGTCAGCATTTCAGCTTGAAGAGAATAAATTGATGGCTAAACACAGGCAAGGCCAAAGACCATAGCATATGAACAAAGAAAATTATTTAAAAGGAAAGGCTTTGAACTAGTAATACAGTTTGTATTTTTGTAACAATCTCTGCAAGAGGGTATCTAATAGAACTACCAAAGTATACAGACACAGAAAAGGAAGCCTAATTATGTTATCACAAGTTCTTAATTGTCAACTTGTCATACTACTTCAGATATCCGGAAGAGAATAAAACATGCAAAAATGAAAAATAAGTATATTAATATTTATGCTATGTCAAAATATATGCTAACTACTAAGTAATAGAGCAATAACAGAGGAACTAAGTGGTTCCTTAAAACCATTAGAAAATGATTTATATTAAGAACAAGATGAAAATGAAGCATGAGACATGATGTGCATCACATAGTACCAGAATTGAAAATGATACAACAATAATGAGACCCGTTCCAAAGGAATACTCTCCAGATGCTAATGGAAGATACGGTTTATTTATCTGCAATATAACATGTAGCAAAATCAGTCATAAGAAAACCCACCTATTATTTCCCCAGCAAAGTGTGGACTCTAGATTTAACTCATTTCTAAACTACTTAAATTCATGTTTATTTAATGTACTCTTAGAAGTTTTTTCAATTTATTTTAAGAATTTTGTTAACTTCAACCCTTAGAATTAAGTTTAAGTACTTACAAATAAAATTTTTTTATGAAAAAATACACATTTATTGTATTGAAGTTATAAAATTATAATAAATACTTTTTTTCTAATAAATTTCTATTATTATTAACTGCTTATATCAGTCCTAAGATTGAGGTTAACAAAAACTCCTATTTTAATGATTCTTTTTACATAACTCATTAAATTAAATTACTTTTATCTTATGTCAATAAATTTTATGATATAATTGTAATATAAACTCTTTATAGAATAAAAATTTATTAAATAAATATTTAATTCAATTATTAAAAGTGATAAACCCAATTCGAAGGTAATTTTTCAATTTGAATCATTCTGTAGGATCGGGTCTAAAAGTGATAATCTTAATTCGAAGGTAAAGATTTTAACTTTCTTCAATTTTTATTTACTACTTTTTTCAAACAATAATAGGCATAATGAGATATTTACAAATTATTAATAAAACAAATTTTTACATCAATCAAATCATTTTTTAGGTTTTTAAAAAGTTAATAGTGTCACATGTCTGTGTTAATATTTTAATGTATTTTTTTTATTACAGATAAGTATATGTTTGAATTAATTTATTTTGACTAAGTAGATTTTTGTTAGCTCAAGAGTGAGCTTAAAAAAAAAAGTTAATTGTCTCAAGTGTGTTTCTCTTAATTTTTTTTATAGGTTTTGTTTTTTCTAGCAAATTTGTTTATACGATTTATACTTTACCAGCATTTCAAAAACAAATGTTATAACTCACCATTATTTATGAAGCGTTCAAATTTAATTTTTACTTCTTTCTAAAAATGAAGTTGTGATTTTGAATATTAAAATAGAACAACATTTTTTTTATTTTTAAGAGTAAATTTAAAACGTAATTTTAAAAAAATGAAGAAAAAAATATAATATTCTATACAGTTTTTTTTCAAACAGTAGAACGGATTTCTTGCAGCATAACATTAGTATGTTCCTTACTAATATAAATATGAAAATCTTGATCCAATTAAAATAATCCAAAGAAAGGTAAATGCAACAGGTTTGGATCTTGTTTTTAAGTTAACATAAACCTCAATTTAATATTTTGATTGCTTTAATTATTTTTTACACTCCAACTTAGTCCAATGATATGACCAGGTTAAGATTCTATTGAACTACTTTTAAAACAGAAATTAAACATGCTCTTAATTTATGACAAAATATACAAAACTAACAATATATATTCCTCTGTTTTTGTTTTGGTAAATTTTATATTGTTGATTGAAGTTAATAAGTTGCATACCTTGTCGATTTCAACATCAGATAATTGATTTAAGCCAACAATATAAATGTTCATAAAAAGGGCAGCTGTCACGGCCTGAAACAGAAAAGCTCATAACACAAGCATTAATAAGTTAGGAGAAGTAGGCAATAGCATATTTAAAATTTATTACAAATTACACAAGTATGAAAAAAAAATCGTTAAATTAAAAATAAAACTCATGTAACTTATATAATTTTTAATAATTTATCATAATTAAAAGTGTGTTAGAGACTTTTTACTAGCATATATCTTAGCCATTTTTAAACAAGTAATATATTCAAGTTACCACCTCCAGTACACCAATGAAAAATGCTGGAGATATATCTGTTAATTTCTCCACTGCAAGAAGGGACACAGAAATTATGCTTAATGCCTGTGCAAACACAAAAAAAGTTAGCCTTTCTAATGTTACAATTTTACTGAAATTAGAGGTTCATATGAAAAAGATTTGAATGTATACTTATATAAGATTGATTCTACTTAACTGTGCCAATGATTGTGTGTGGCCTGCTAAACCTGTAGAAAGCATTCAATGTATGTTTGAGAGAACCCCAAATGGTTTTTGGACTATGAGCTTGAGGTTCAGATTCAAATGATTGTCCAGAGGCTGCATTCACAACATAAGCTCTTGCAAATTCTTCACATGTGGATCCAAACTCAATGCCTCTGTAATTATGCTGTTGAATCCTCATCATAGGATATTCATTCTGGAATTTCTTAATTCTGTAACTTGAAGCTTTTGTTATGGAATAGCCTAGAATACCACATGTGGAAAGTTGGTAGCTGTGACCCCAATAAATGAAAAAATACATTTTTTTTCTTCATTTAGGATGAAATAAACATGTAGCAAAATTCTTCTAGTGAATGAGCAACCAATATAAGTAGTACTCACCAAAACAAAAAACAAGAAAGCAATACAAGTAGTTATATTAAACTTAGGATCCAACATGTTATATATATATATTAGTTTAGTTTTAAAATTCATGAATGTGAGAAAAATTACTGATGAGAAGAGTCCTTACTTAAATATACGACCATATTAGGATTTGAATTCAATATAGTGAAAAAATAAAGGACACATTTGAGGCCGTAAATAAAGTGGAGTGGTTGGAAAAATATTGAAAGGCTTAAATTCCTAGTCCAACTGAACTCTTCCAATCTTCATTCATCGAAATGCATCACTGTTTACTTATGGCATGTTTGGAGAAATGTCATATTTATTCAAACATGAATCTATTTTAATTACATTCAAACATAATCTAATGTAATAATTTAATGTAATAGCATAACTCGCAATATCATGAGAAAAAATAAAAAAGAAGAATAAAAAAAATTCAGCAAAAAATACATTATTTAGATGAATTAAAATAGGGGGGAAATGAAAAAAAATCACTTATTTGAATAAGTAAAATATATGTGTATATATATATATATATATATATATATTAAAAATAATCATAAAATTATACAAAACTAAAATAAATATATTATGTTTTTGTTATCAAATATTTTTTAATAAAAAAACCAAAACTCTCTCCATTCCCTTATCCATCTGTCCCTCTCACAAACAACAAAAATTCATCCTTCAGCTCTTTCCTTCTTAAGATGTTACTTTCTTCCTCCTCATATCTTTTTCTCCTCCTTATTTCTACCCCATCTAAACAGATCAAAAAGATTAAGCCGAAAGTGTGAAAGTGATTCCTTTTTCTTCATCAAAAACTCCCAAAAAACTGAAGGATTGCACGGGTGTATGAACAATAGCAACAACAGCAACTAAACTTGAGTGTGAAAATATTATGCAATGTCTAACAATGCCTGAACTGTAAAGAATGCAACCAGTAAGCATAATATATAACAACTCTTCTCTTAAAGGAACAAACAGATGAATATATTAGACATACTTGCATAGTAATTTTTGGCACATTTTCTATTCTTCCAGGAACTTGCACCTGCCAATATTTTTATGAAAAAAGAACAAATAACTTGAAATTTCAGAAACTTTACACTGAAAAAAGGAGCAATTTTTATGTCTCACCAGTGGTAATAGGAGAAGCTATGTGGAAAGAGGGAAGAAGCAAGGAATCCATTATCAGTGAAACGCCACACCCACACAAACTCAGGTCTCACTTTGACCCTTCAAATGTTGAATAAATGATAGAGAATGATCCTATCCAAGCATGGAATTAGACACGTTTCATTCACATTAATCAAATGGTTGTAATTTGGATCCATGACAAGACTCTCCCTTTTCTAAATCAGTAATCTGTCATGTCATAACTCAGCTCCTGCGAACTAGCTGCTAACTTTGTACGAAACAAAAAAAATAATATTATATATATATATATATATATATATATTTTAATTAATAAAACTTATAATAAATTAAAATGAATTTCACTTGATAAAAATTATATATATGATAAACATAAACATTTCATATTACTCGTTAATACTAAAATTGTTAAAATAAATAAATAAAATACATTGCATGCTGCTCTTCAACACAAATTCAATGTTATCATTAAATACTAATTGGACACAACCTTTATCATCTAATATCTAACCATATAATTATTATACTTAAATATCTCACTTTGTTTTTGTTTGTTTTTACAGTTAGGCTCTTTACTAAGGTTGAAAGGTCAATATGACAGATATGGGAATATAAGTAATGTGTGGTTAATAATTTTGATGAATTGAGTTTTGTAAGTGTTACAAGTATTCTCTTGATTTAAAGTTCAAGTATAGTCAATTTTAATAGAAGTATTTTGACATTATTGAATATCGTTGAAAAGCATATTAAATTAATTTAAGTTCTATACTTATATTTATTAGAATATATTTTGTTATTAAAAGTATAGAAATTGGTTTTCTAACCTCAAAGGCTAATATGGACGAAAGAGGAGAGAAAGTAGTTGTATTAAAAAAATGTAAGTGAATAACATTTCTAACTCTTAGTTAATAATTTGTACTAATTTAAATTGGAGAAAAATTGAAATATATTTATAAATGTGTTGAGTCATGTAAGTATTTTTTTATTTTAAAAATATGACTTTGAAGTGAAAGGATATAACTTTCAACGGTATTTCTTAGTTTTAATGGTATAACTCTTAAATAAAAAGATATAATTGTTCATTTAAGTTTAAATTATTAACTATAAATAATTTTTATTATTAAACACATAACAAACTTTATTTTATATAACATATGAGTTAGAGTGTTCTTAATTTTTAAGTTTAAGAGAAAAAAATTCTTATTATTGCTAGATAAGAAATTTAAAGGTTTTATTGAACCTTGAAAAAGTATCGTCATTAATCTATAGCAACTTTGTGTAGTAGCGAATATTTTTCTAAAGATAACGATTAATTTCGTACTTTGAAACTAGTATTTTATATTTTTGTTCATCATCTCTTACACTAAGTTTCTTAACAAAAATTAGCTAAAATTAGTTAAAATTAAGCTAAAAATACTTGTTTGAAACAGTCTATTGCTGATTAAAAATTAAATATATTTTTTTATCACTTCATGATACTTTTGTAAATTTTAAATATAAATAATTTTCATATGTTATCAGGTTAAATCAAGTCAACTTAAGTAAATATTTTTTTTTAGTAACGTGTCAGTAATTAAATCACTTTTAAAAATTTTATTAGTTTATTTGAGTAGTTTTAAAAACATTACATGATTAAACTATTTAAAAAGTTGATGCGTATGATCAACTTTTGTAACCATGATTGTTGAAAAAAATTTTGTTTAAAAATTATTTACTTATTTGGAGTAATTTTTGCAACCTCACCTATGATTAAAAAATATTGTTTAAAAATTATTTGAAGTGATTTTTAAAAATTATATAAAAGTAGATTGTTTAAAAAAATGTTTGAGTTTAATTTGTACTCTCAAATTTGAATTTTAATAACTTTGTTAAAACTCTCTCTTATGATTTTATTGGGTCAAAAAGATTGATTTTAACAAGAGCAATTATATTTTAGACAAAAAAAAAAACTGTGCAAAGATATTTAATGTAAAATAAAAACAATTAATTTATATATTTAAAAGAAAAAACTTAAAATTCTCAAGTATAAGCAAGTCCATCTAAATTAAAAATTTTACTTACTAATGCATGCGAATAAACAACCCAACAAGCCCAAGATATTAAAATCACAAACTTTATCGCGGGCACTGATTCTACTTGTGAGAAACTGAGAATAGTGAATCAAACACCAAACTAACAAAATAAATAAAAGATTGATGAAGATTGAAGAGCATTTTCCTCCCCTGAAGTAAAACCTAATATTCCCCTTACTATATAGCGGATGACATAAGATTATCATCCTAGTTTTAATGCCAATCACTACTTTCACTGTGACTCATCTCTCTCTATCTTCTTTTCCCCACACCTCTCCAATTGCTTACAAGTCACAGTCTCAGCCTTATTCTGAACCCAAAACTCATCTTCTTCTGTTGCCACTGCACTTCCTTGTGGCAATGGAGGGTACCCTCTTCCCCAATAGGCCAGTTTTACCCTCCACACCGCACAAACCTACACACCCTTTGAAATTCAAACCAACTTTTTTACCACCACCCTCTCCCCCTCCTCCTCCTCCTCCTTCCTTTCATTTAGATTCCCTTCTCCAACATCTCAATCATCTCTCTTCAGTTCCCATCACCTCTCACACCCTCACACTTGTGCCTCCAATTCATGATAATAACACAACCCATTTCCAAGATTCTCTTATTTCAGAGCACCCCATTTCGCCCTCTGCCCCTCAGGACCACTTTGATGATGCAAATTTTAAATTTTTATCAGAAAAGGGTAAGTTTATGCTGAATTCAATTGTTGGGTCACCCTTGCATGAATTGAATGCTTTCTTCAACTCTGTCAAGTTTGATTTGCTTGAGGTTGACTTTCCCAGCTTGTTGAAAGCTTTGGACCTTTCTGGAAACTGGGAAAGAGCACTCTTGCTGTTTGAATGGATTTGGTTGCATAGTGGGAATGATCAGAAGAATGTCAGGGTGGATAATCAGGTTGTTGAATTTATGGTTAGGATATTGGGGAGAGAGTCACAGCATTCAATTGTGTGCAAGTTGTTTGATTTTATTCCTGTTGAAGAGTACTCACTTGATGTAAGGGCTTGCACCACTATTCTTCATGCATATGCTCGCACTGGCAAGTATAAACGGGCTATTCATATGTTTGAGAAGATGAAGGAGACTGGTCTTGATCCAACTTTGGTCACTTACAATGTTATGCTTGATGTTTATGGCAAGATGGGTAGGTCTTGGAATAGGATTTTGGACCTTTTGGATGAGATGAGAAGTAAAGGGCTTGAGTATGATGAATTTACTTGCAGCACTGTGATATCTGCTTGTGGGAGAGAGGGTATGCTTGATGAAGCAAGGAAGTTTTTTGCTGAGTTGAAATTGAATGGATATAAACCTGGAACTGTTGCATATAATTCTATGCTGCAGGTTTTTGGAAAGGCTGGGGTTTACGCTGAGGCATTGAATATCTTGAAGGAGATGGAGGATAATAATTGCCCTCCTGATTGTGTTACTTACAACGAGCTCGTGGCGGCATATGTAAGAGCTGGGTTTCTTGATGAAGGGGCTGCTGTCATAGATACGATGATGAGCAAAAGAGTGATGCCAAATGCTATTACTTATACCACTGTGATAGATGCATATGGTAAGGCGGGAAAGGAGGACAAGGCGCTAGCATTGTTTGGCAAGATGAAGGACTTGGGTTGTGTTCCCAATGTGTGCACTTACAACTCTGTTCTTGCAATGCTAGGCAAGAAGTCAAGATCTGAAGAGATGATAAATGTTCTCTGTGACATGAAATTGAATGGATGTGCTCCTAATCGAGCTACGTGGAACACCATGCTTGCTGTTTGTGGTGAGAAGGGTAAGCACAATTATGTTAATCAGGTTTTAAGGGAAATGAAAAGATGTGGGTTTGAGCCTGACAAAGACACATTCAATACATTGATTAGTGCATACGGTCGGTGTGGATCTGAGGTTGATTCTGCAAAAATGTATGGGGAGATGGTCAAAGCAGGCTTTACTCCGTGTGTAACAACGTATAATGCTCTTCTAAATGCTCTTGCAAGGCGAGGTGATTGGAAAGCAGCAGAATCTGTCATTCTGGATATGCGGACTAAAGGCTTTAAGCCTAATGAAACTTCATACTCACTGTTGCTTCACTGTTATTCCAAGGATGGGAATGTCAAGGGGATAGAAAAAGTTGAGAAAGAAATTTATGATGGTCATGTCTTTCCTAGTTGGGTACTTCTGAGATCCCTTATCATTGCAAACTACAAGTGCAAACAGCTCAAAGGAATGGAAAAGGCATTTGATCAATTGCAAAAGAATGGATACAAACCTGATTTGGTTATAGTAAACTCCATGCTATCAATGTTTGCCCGAAACAAGATGTTTGTTAAGGCTCGCGAAATGCTACATTTTATTCAGGAAAGTGGGTTGGAGCCAAATCTTGTCACCTATAATAGCTTGATGGACTTGTATGTCCGAGAGGGCGAGTGTTGGAAAGCAAATGAAGTGCTCATGGGGCTTCAAAACTCTGGTCCAAAGCCAGATGTTGTGTCCTATAATACTGTGATCAAGGGATTTTGTAGAAAAGGGCTCATGCAGGAGGCTATTAGAATTTTCTCAGAGATGACCACTAAGGGGATTCAACCATGTATAGTTACATACAATACTTTCTTGACAGGTTATGCATGGATGGGGTCATTTGCCGAAGCAAAAGAAGTCATTAGATATATGATTGAGCACAATTGCAGGCCCAATGAACTAACTTACAAGATTGTAGTTGATGGTTATTGTAAAGCAAGGAAACATAAAGAAGCCATGGACTTTTTGTCTAAGATTAAGGAGATTGATATCTCTTGTGATGATCAATCTGTGAAAAGGCTAGCCTCTTGCATAAGGGAGAGTTTAGGGACTTGACTTTGTCACCTATTCATTGGGTTTCTTTTTATATATATAAATATAATACCTTTGCTAAATACAATTCCATCAGTTGCTGCATTCTTTAATCTTTTGAAAATTCATTTTATACTATAATTCTATTAACTTAATGACCACTTCGGTCCATAAAAGAAAAAGAAATATATTGAATTCCATGGGAAATTTTAATTAAACAACTGAAAGCTACACAATTTGGTATAAGAAAGTTTCCTAAGTCTGTAATTTGCATACTTGAATTTTCATTTTTAAATGTGATCAGGGAGACAAAATTGAAGTTTAGGCCTTGAATTTGAACAATGTGCAAATTTGGAATCAAATTTTGAACTTCTAGAGTGAAGACTCATTATGAAACTTCAGCACAAATAAAATTAACAAAATAGCCTGCATAAGATGAAATATTAAACAGAAGAAGCCCCGGATTAGACTAAAAGTTCAATCAGATCATACTCAGTCTAGGACACCGGTGATTCTATCCCATCACAACATCTTGTGTTCGAGGAACTTTGAGGAGTTTGACAGCATTTGTAATTGTCTGTTCCATAACATCAAAATGACATTTGTAATAGGCATCCCACCAGTGAAGTTGAATTAAATTCGAAGAAATTAAATCTGGTCAAACTATTAATTTATGGGATCTAAATTCTCTTCAGTTGTAGCGGGAATTGTATATCTAGTTTTATTTTTATTTAAGCGAAAATGGACTCATACAAAAATAATAAAAAAAATTTATACAAAATTAGTTTAAGCAAATTTTTTTTGGCTTAAGCAAAATTTTTTGTAAATTTGTTTAAGGAAATTTTTTTGGATTAAGCGAATTTTACGTCTTCTTTTCTTATTCTCTTCATGTCTAACACTTACTCTTTAATCTCCATATTCAACCATTTTTAACTAATTTAGACTATTAATTTTGGATGTTCAATTTCTGCCATAAATAGAGATGATTTAAAACCTAATTTATGATGTCACAATAATATAACAATTTTGTTTCTTAAACTACTAAAAATTGACACCACATATAATATTATACCAAATTATTTTTGTCTCTTTTACTTTTAAGAAAAATTATACACTTTCTAAAAATAAACATCAAAAGTATAAAGAAACGTCTTTAAATGTGCTTTTCTAAAGGTAGAAAAAATGATAATCTAAAATAAACTTTTAGACAATTTTTAAATTTTTTTTTTGAAGTAATGTGTTTTTTATTTAATTTTTCTAACTTTAAAAATGTGAAATTATAGAAAGGGTGAAAACAAGCCAAGCAAAACTAAGTTTCATAAAATTTGAGCCAAACCTAACTATTGAATTCAATTGTTAATTTTGACCTATTTTTTAATAGTTGATTTTTTAAAATTTAATATTGCTTACAAGTCTATTTAAAAGTTTACTTAACAATAAAATCTTTTAAATATATAAAAAAAATTTACTTCTAAATCTACTAATAAGTCTAAACTTATATATAACTAAACAGAGTTGTATCTTTAAATAAAATAAATATATAATATCTAAATATCATTATTATAATTTAAATAGGAAAATCTATTTTGCTTAGAAGGTTTGATAAATGGCTCAAAGTCTAGGCTTTTTAACTGGTCATACTTAAAAAAAGAAAAAGAAAAATCTTAAACTGACTTATTTAATAAATAAGTTTGACTTGATCTAATCCTAATGTAGGTTAGGCCATAGCTAAGATTTTTACAAGCATATTGACCTATTTTCCAACATAATTATAAAATAAATTATGTTATTAATATACCCATATAAATATTAAGACAAGCAATGTGATTCATGTTGGGAAATGATGTTCAAAGATTTATGCATGCTAATTGCCTAAGACATATCAAACGCTTGAAAAACTATGTATTAATGAGACATATTTGTAATTATTTTATTCACACATAGTTTAAGTGTGATGTATTCTTCCATACTTAATGTGCAGAAATACCTTGCGGAATTTTATAAAGTAATTCAAAAACTTGCATCCAATAGATAAAGTTATCACAAGACTTAGTAATTACCATACCATATATGTAAGTTTATTTTAATTTTTGTTATAAAGTTAAATTTATATTTATTTTATTTGTCATATTGTATTATATAATTTTATACTATTTTTATTTGAAGTACAAGTGTAAGACGCATGCATGTTTGAAACATAAACATATTTTAATTTGATAACATGGGAACTCTTGAGTAGGCTAGTGCATATATTTATAAGTTTGGGGTTCCCTTAAATTTTAATACATTTTTGGCAGTAGTCCTACCCCAATTAAAGTATTTAGTTGTATCAAACCATCTTTGCTTAAATTTGTGATACTAATCATCATCTTAAATAATAATTTTGTTTTAATTTTTTATTTTCAATACCTATGGAATAAAAAATATTTATCCTATATCACAAATTAGACAACACAAATTTATTTTTACAATCATTAAAAAAATTCCTTTACATTAATAATATATTAAAATTAAACTCTTAAATTAAATTATAAAAAATTAATGTATGCATCAAGTAAATATGTAGATGTAACTGTAGAAACTCGATTTTATGTTATTTTTTTTCATGCAAAATAAAGATGCAGAATATTCAAATTTCTCATTGACAATGAATCCAACTAATATAATAACCTTTATAATGAAAATTGACGCTCAAATTTTTGTAGAACTTTCACTGGAATAAACACCTTTATCTATTTTTTGTTTTTTTTATTTTCTGATGCTCTATTCTTGATAAAAACACCAAGAGACATATAAAATGTTATAAGTAAGGATAAAGACAAGCATCTTTTCTTTTTTACTCAATTATATAATTGCTCACATCGAGCAATTGAAAGTTAAGAGAGTTTTCTTCTTCTTCAAAATTCATAATTTTCATTTAATTATTATTAATTTTTGGTGTGTATATCAAGTATATTCTCACTTTCATGGTTATGTAATAATCATTTAAGATGGAGAAAATATCAAAGTTTTTTTTAAAGATTTATTTTTTCATACAGATAATTTAGAATTTAATTTTGATCAATATTTTTAAAGAATCTAACTAGTTACCCTTGCACCTACTTCATTCAACTATTAATAAGGGTTTTTTTTTTTTTTTCTAAACTTGAATAAAATTAATTTTAAATTATTAACAATAATTCAAACATGCACTTACAATCAATTTCTTACTAGATCGATCTTGAATTTAGTGATTAGTCTTTGACGTTGTCATGTATTAATTTTTAATATCATTGTCTAAATTAATTGATAGTTGTCAAATTTAATGACTAAATTAACCAATGCAATAATATTAGGGACTACGTTGACTATAATTCAATTTGAGTGGCTAAAGTATTTGATAATGATTAATTTTAGAATGATTTTTGTCTAATTTCAAAAGAAGAAATTAATTGATAATTATAATTTCAGTTTGTAATTACAAACGCACCCTTAACTGAACACAAAGATAAAAATCTGTTGGCATTTTGTCTGGTTGTGCAATCCTTTTCATAAGTAATAGGAAACATGTAACTTTATAGCTCACCAACAATATTCTACCTAAATTTCTCAGTAGTAAATGCTTGCATTACCTCTTCATATGGCTTTTCCTTTATGCACACTAAAAACAATTGACTATACAAGTGAGTGAATACGAAGATCTTAATTTTATTTTCAGTTAAACTAAAAACGTACTCAAGCATCTAAGTATTTCAAATCAAAGACTTAGAAAGAAGAGTTTGGTTATGTTATATATGTCAATATTCAACTCATTACATCATCATTATCTACCATTGTTATTACTTTCTTCAGTGAATTATCTCCATCCAAGAGACTATATTCAAAGAAGGAAAAAAAATACACCAACCCTTTTCCCTGATTCATAGCAGAAGGACAAGAGTATGAAAAAGCGCTTACTGTGTTAAGCACAATATAGTAGAAAGTAGAAACTAGAAAGGCACCCAACAACACACCTTTCTGCGGTACAAAATAACAAGCATACCTATTTCTGCCAAATCAGAATGTACTAAAACGCACAAATTTAACTATAGTAGATTTCCTCCAAATCCATATCTCTTGTTATCTTATCAACTTTTATACAAAATTTCTAATTATATATTTGATAATCCTGTACTTTTTTAGAGCAATTTATATTTTTAAATAACATTTCATTTTAGTTTCTTGAATTAATTTGCATATATATAATTTTGATTTTTTACAATTTATATTTTTTTAAACTAGGACTAAAAAATATACATGGTTATTTTTAGTGTTTTTATATTTATAAAATTTACATAAAATTTAAGAGTAATCTATCAAAATTACATGTATGGTAAAATGAGGTAAAGTTAATCCTAAAATAAAAGCAGTGAGATAAAGTAATAAAATGGAGGAAATGTAAATGGAAATAAGGAAGGGAAGAAAGTAAAAGAAGGGTTCAGAAAGAGATATTTGGAATTGGAAACAAACAGTAGTGTCTGGGAAGCCCACATGTGAAAAAAACAAGACCATCAACTAATTTCTTTTTCTGGAACAACCTCAAACCTCAACCCTGTCTTCTTAGCTAAATTGCTCGCCACTCGTTTTATGCCTCTCAATCTTCCCCACTCTCATCAACTCCAAACGACAACAAGCACCACACCCTCACCAACTCAATAAGTCTTTCTCCCTCTCATTGCTCTTTTCATTCTCATTCCCCGTTTCCACTTCTTCCTTCTCAACGCCCCGTCGTTCACATGGGTTGAACCACCGCCATTCGCTCTCAATTAAATGGAGTGGGACAGCAATTCCGATCTCAGCGGCGACGACGATGCCGCTTCCTTCCTCCTAAACGACGACGATGACGACGTCGTTGGACCCCTCCCTTTCCCCGTCCTCCAGACGGCGCCGTGTGGCTTCATCGTCACCGACGCGCTCGAACCCGACCACCCTATCATATACGTCAACGCCGTGTTCGAGATGGTTACCGGTTACCGTGCCGAAGAAGTGCTCGGTCGCAATTGGTTAGTACTCTTTCCTCTCTCGATTTCTGTTTATTAGGTTTAGGTTTTTCGTTTTGCTTGAAAACCCTAGGTAACGGTTAGAATTTGAAACGACTTGAATTTGAATGGCTGTTAGGGCGTGGTGTAATGCTGGTGGTACTTAATGCTAGTGGGGGCTCGGATTTGGAGCTATTGTGCTGTGCGTGTTTGATATTTATTTTAGGGTTGGAGTTTTGACTTTTGTGCCGTGAAATGCTAACTAACGAGGGAGTGAACTGGTTGCGTGATTCGCGATTGGCTGTTCATGTAATTCGGATTGCTTTTAGGAATTTTGTTGTCTCTGTGTTATATGTTGGTATTAGAATTACTGAGTATTGAGTAAAGAAGGAATGACGTTATCACTTTGGTCCCTTGATTGAAGGGGTTTGGGGATTCAACGCAGTAGGTTCGTCCTTGTGTAATAAACTTGTCTGCAATGTTGGTGGAATGGGTTTTTATTAGGGCCAGGCCCAGACCTTTATGATGTCTTCCTATGAAATATTCATTTTGAGCACTTTTTTTTTTCTGGATTTTTAATTTCTTTCGGTAAATGTGGAAAGATCAGTGTGGTAGTGAAACAGGTTAGATTTTTTCTTTCAGATTCTAAAACTGGTTGAAGTCTGCAAAGAGTTATAGAGGCAACATGAATCAATTAGAATAGAACTTGGCTTCCACAATCCTAGTAAAACATGCTATTTCACTAAATTTATCTTTTTGGTATCCTCAGTTTCAAGTTCCAACTTCTATGGCCTCAATTAGAGAAATCATTGCAACCATATATCATGGTTTTTAAATGTTCTCGCCTGTCTACTCTGTCTAGGGAACAGGTGTTTTGGATTACTTTGCTACATAAGCACAATGAACAAATAGTGTCTCAACTCTCAAACAGGCTTAGAACCAGCCTAAAATTTATTACGCCTTTTCTGTTAGGCTCTAGTTTATATATTGAGTGTCTCTGCTGTATACTTATCCAAATATTTCTTATCTGTCATAAAAGAAAGATGTTTCCTTCGAAGATTTCTCATGGAAAGAAATACTGGGGCATTTTTTGTTTTGAATTTTCTTCTCTTTTAATGGGAAAAGAAAATTCCAGTGGGAAGAATAAAGAAGCATAAGTTTGGGCAAGGTTTTAGAATAAGTGGCTAAGAGCCACTTCTGATTTATTTCTGATTTTCCACAGGCTGGAATTGTAAAAATAACCTTGGGAAAATTACACCAGAAAAGTTCGTTGATGTAGTTGGAGATCCTAAGGTCTTATAAACCCTACACTAGAATTCCATATTTCCAATGTGAGACTCAAGTCCCATAACTTGCAAATTACAATTGAATCCTAAAATCAATTGATTGGAAACCTGGTATGTTAAGAAGAAATAGGGATAAACCCCAATTACAAAGACTGGACACTGCAAAACTTTGAGGGCCTTTACCTCCAGGAGCCAAGGACCTTAATTTCCTCTCAAATGACAAAATATCTCCCTCTTAACGTCCTCTCTTATTTATAGGCAACTAGCATTATTAAAACTGTAGGGAGTAATAATGTAATATGGCATAAAGTATGTAGTTTAAGTTGTCTAAAAACCTAATAATAGGACAGGTACTGATCTAAGGTGGTAAGTCGTCTGTTTACATTCCATCTGAACTACCAATGGAAATTAAAAGAAAAATCAGACAAAAATCTCCTCAAGGAAAAGAAATCCTGAATCTCAAGGAAACTCAGCCAACAAAGAAGACCCAGCAATCCAGATTCCAGAATGCCCACTGTCTACATCTTAATAACAGCAGGGGCTGGGCCAAATATCCAAATAACTCAAACCCAACCATAATTCAAGCTGAACCATGTTTAAAAAACCATATGATGAAAACCATTTTTTAAACATAATTGATATATTTTTTTGTGAATTGTTTAGTTAATTGATTTAAAAACTGGTTTGGGATGCTGAAAACTGGTTTTTAACCCAGTTTTGTAGAGCAGAAATGGTCTTATAACTGGATTTTATGGAAGTTTTTGGGTTTAAAACAAGTTTTGGTCCTAAAACTGGTTTGACCAATTACAAACCCATTTTATAAAAAACACGGTGATTTGGTTTTGAAATCTAATCCAGTCCAAATATAGTAGATTTGTTTTGGTTTTTCATAAATCAAAACCATGCACACCCCTACCTGATTGTAATCATCAACCTAGAAAACAGTGAAGCTCTGAACAACCATGAGTCCATAATTCCAGAAACCCAAAATTCAACAAAAAGGTCCATCTCAAATTTTGAATACCCATTAAAACTTCATCTCTACCAAAAAAATATTATCAAAGATTGGATGCCTTCAATGGCTTTGGTTTCCCAGCTTTCAATGTCCAGTGCTTTGAGTGTTAATATGTAAAATATGTTATTAATGTTAACAACCAAATGCATCTGCAAGTTGAAATGTTGAATTGTATGAAACAATATTTGTCATTCTTATGTTGATTTAATTGAGATTGGGTTATAGTTTGCATTGCATACATCCATTAGAGTCACTAACTTTTATCCAGCATTGAAAGAAGTTGTGGTTTGACAGTTTAGACGATGTAGTTTCTACATGGATGAAATGTTTTTCATGTATTATTACTGTGTTTTTTGGAGTAGTATTTGTTAAATGATGGATCATAAACTCTCAATTGCTTTTCATCCTTCCTAACTAGTATACTGTTACCTGCATTAAGAAGTTGCTTCTCTTTGACAGGTTATGCAATAATAATAATTCCTTACATAATTGAAAGATTTCTTATGTAAGCTGAGTGTAAATGTCCTGTTGCTGTTAAACTCTTTTAGTAACATTTGTGAGAATACGTTGGATAATCATTGTCACTTCAAGTGAGAATTTTTCTGGTCTTCAGTAGTTTTTAGTTTGTTTGGAACACTTGATGATGCAATTGTCAGCCACATGTCATTAGTTTTTAGAGATGTAGAAAGTGTGCATTTGGAGAGCTACTTTGTTATTTCCAGTGAGGTGATGTAGGACAGAAGTGTCTCAATTTAAGCTTAGATGGCTGGTTGGCTGCTGAGAATCTGGGATGGCTGATAGGTTTAATGATGAATAAAAAGCATTGAAAACTTTGTGCTTTGATGGTGTGGATTTGAAATAGAAATGTTTAATGTATGAATCGGTTACTGGTCTGGATCAACTGTGGGACTGTTTAGGTTAGAACAGTTATGCAAAATTAATTTTATGGTATGTATAATAATAATTATGAAAAATTCATAGAAAGGTGATTTTTGGTATTTTTATATCAGAGTTTCTTGTAATGCTGCAGTTTGGGGCAAGGCTTTAAAACTGTAATAGAAGTCATATTAGAATTTTGATTGAGTAAAAATGAGAATTAGACTAGATATTGCATGGTAATTTATTTGTGGTTGTATGAAATATTGAGTATCTGCCTTTTAAAGCATTCAGAATAGTGACTTTTATTTTTCTTTATTTTTTTTAATCTTAATGTACGTATTATGAGGATGTGGATATGTATATTTGTTGGGTTTGTCTTGTCTTATGCTTTATGATAAAAAAGTGAATTAGCTAAGAAATTGATGTAGTTTCTTAACAGTAATTTATTTGCAGATCCATTTTCTCTCACATGACCCTCCTGCAAGTGCTTTTTTGTTATGTTTTTGCATAGACATACTAAGAAGGGCTAAATGATGTGGTAGTTCGGGTATTTAAAAAATTACTTTATTAACAACACTACTCTTGGCTTGTAACTCATTTGGACTAATATGCGATGGTGGCTCATCCAGATAGACTTGTAATCTCTCTGTAGTAATTTTGAAACTATTTTCTTCAGGAAATAGAATGAGTAACCTGTACACTGTACTGGGGAAATAAAAGAAAGAAAAGAAGGCAAAAGAGCATTCTATTTAAGCAATTAAGCAATAATTGGTAGCCCTTCATTACATGTCTTGCTTGCTTGAGTCTCTACGGTTGAATGTTTCTAATTCAATGTGGCTTTGTTGTTCTAATCATTTAAAATATTTTGCAGCCGTTTCTTGCAATGTCGAGGTCCATTTGCTAAGAGAAGGCATCCATTGGTGGACTCAACTGTAGTTTCAGAAATTAGAAGATGCCTTGAGGAAGGGATTGAATTCCAAGGTGAGTTGCTGAACTTTCGGAAAGATGGATCTCCACTTATGAACAGATTGCGGCTGACACCTATATTTGGAGATGATGAGATAACTCATGTCATTGGAATCCAGTTCTTCACGGAGGCAAACATTGATCTTGGTCCTGTTCCGGGTTCTACAATTAAGGAATCTACTAAATCATCAGATCGGTTTCATTCTGTGCTTTCGTCATTGCATCCTCTTCCAGTGGGGGACCGTAATGTTGCTCGTGGAGTTTGTGGGATATTGCAGTTGAGTGATGAGGTATTGTCTCTCAAGATACTTGCTCGGTTAACTCCAAGAGATATTGCATCAGTTGGTTCTGTTTGTAGGCGATTGTATGAGCTAACAAAAAATGAGGACCTTTGGAGAATGGTGTGCCAGAATGCATGGGGCAGTGAGACTACACGTGTTTTAGAGACTGTGCCTGGTGCAAGGAGACTTGGATGGGGTCGTCTGGCAAGGGAACTGACCACTCTTGAAGCAGCAGCATGGAGGAAACTAACTGTTGGAGGTGCTGTTGAACCTTCACGCTGTAATTTTAGTGCCTGTGCAGTTGGTAATAGAGTTGTCCTTTTTGGTGGTGAAGGGGTTAACATGCAACCTATGAATGACACCTTTGTATTGGATCTCAATTCTAGTAATCCTGAGTGGCAACATGTCCAAGTGAGTTCTCCTCCCCCTGGCCGGTGGGGCCACACTCTTTCTTGTGTTAATGGTTCACGTTTAGTTGTATTTGGAGGCTGTGGAAGGCAGGGCTTGCTCAATGATGTGTTTGTTTTGGACCTGGATGCAAAGCCTCCAACTTGGCGTGAAATTTCTGGATTGGCACCTCCACTTCCAAGATCTTGGCATAGCTCGTGTACTCTTGATGGTACCAAGTTGATAGTCTCTGGGGGCTGTGCTGATTCTGGAGTACTCTTGAGTGATACTTTCCTCCTTGATTTGTCGATGGAGAAACCTGTGTGGAGAGAGATACCAGTGGCATGGACTCCACCTTCACGGCTGGGTCACACACTATCTGTTTATGGTGGTAGGAAAATACTGATGTTTGGGGGTCTGGCCAAGAGTGGGCCCCTGCGTTTCCGCTCCAGCGATGTATTCACAATGGATTTAAGTGAGGAGGAGCCTTGCTGGAGATGTGTAACAGGGAGTGGAATGCCCGGTGCTGGAAATCCTGGAGGCATAGCCCCTCCTCCTAGACTTGATCATGTGGCTGTTAGCCTTCCAGGTGGGAGAATTCTAATATTTGGTGGGTCTGTTGCAGGCCTTCATTCTGCCTCCCAGCTTTACATACTAGATCCAACTGATGAGAAGCCTACATGGAGAATCCTCAATGTACCTGGGCACCCTCCGAGATTTGCTTGGGGACATAGTACGTGTGTTGTTGGAGGGACAAGAGCTATTGTACTGGGTGGTCAAACAGGGGAGGAATGGATGCTAAGTGAGCTCCATGAACTTTCCTTGGCAAGTTCAGTCATCTAGATCCAGTGAATAAACTGCATGCGGTAGTGAGGGGAATGGTAAAATTGTGAAAATCATTGTAAGCTGAATTGGCGGCAACGGTTGTGTTGGTCACTGATACCTCTTGACAAGCATTGCTCTGGTCAGAACGTTTGTGTATTAAGTTGTTTCTACAATGCATTTTATTGTATGGTTGGTTCTGGCTGGAGGAGAACTTTCCAATGAGTGACACCATACCATGTTTGGTTTTTTTGAGGTTGTGTGAGACTTTGCCCTTCAGTATGCACAATGAATTATTCTTCCTGAATAGATTATTAGTGTCTGATAACAAGTAGGTAATATATTAGGGTAGTTCATCACTTGATTACCCCACGTGTTGTTTTGTTCAAATCATGTAATTTGAGCCATGACAAATGATAGAAAAAAGAAAATGCCATGTTCATAGTAACGTAATTAGGTCTATTGTATGTAATGGAAGTCTCTACTTCTGTTTTTATGCTTCTGAACACGAGTCAGCTGACATGGTCATAATTGGTTGTACTGGTTTGTGCCACTGCAAACAGGTGTATAAGGTAGGGAACCCTGCAGTTTGTACATATTTTCCTTAATATTGTGATAATATGGAGTATGTCAACATTTGTATGGTTTATTATTATTTTTCTTGTCATATGGTCTAGCGGTATTGTGTGTTCGATGACGTTGCTTTGAATTTATTTATGTTACCGTGATAAATCAATATCTTTTGGACTGTAATGTCGATGATACAAGAGTTAAAATAAGTAAGGATTTGTTTAGTTCGGGTTTTGGCACAATTACACTTTTAAGAAATTGACGTTAAATTAATGTGTTTTGAAAATGATTTTTTTGAAAGTGAGTTCAGAAAAAAAAAATGATTTTATTTGACTGACAAAGTAGAATGAATTTTGAAATCTGGATATACGTTTTTAATTTTTTTGGGATCTTGTAATTATAATTATTTGCACATTAGAATATTTAAAATTTTTACTTCTCTCACTGTTGATATTACTGCAGAAATGATTGTAAGTAATTATCTTAACCAAATGCTTAGCCTTACGGGCATCAAAATGCAATTATATGGCTAAACTAGGTCTTATTTTGTATCGTAAATATCCGTAAATGCTTACTTTGACATTAGAATCCACAGTTCATACCGGCCAATCTAAGGGAACAAGTGCATCACGAAGGCATGGACTCTCACCTCTCACCTATAGTAATTGAATGAATGGTGCTCCGTTTGGAAACCAAGCAAAATAGATTTCTACAGAATTGAACTTTTCGAAATAATTTTCTCATTTTCATAGCTAAATAATTAAAAGGTACGACTATTTATATATATTTTAAAATCTTCAAACTCAACAATAAATATTGAAAGCATTGCCCCCAAATGTTCAAAATCAAACATCTAGTATCTGATTCATATAAATACAAATTATTTTTGTTTTGTCATATATTTTTATAGAGATACTTTTTTTTACTATAGCTTATTCTGTATATTTTTCCATCACATCATCAATTTTTTATCCTGTGTAAACCATAAATTTGTACAGTATAGTACATTCTTTAAGGTGTTACAATATTTATAAATTAAAAAAAATATTGTATATTCTCTTTAAATTAACTTAAAATATTAAAATTTTAAAAATATTTACATTTTTTAAAAATAAACTGTTAAGTCTCATTATTTATTATACATATTTAATATAAAATAAATAATAATAATAATTTCACGTATGAAAAATATATAATTTACAAGATATCGTAAAAATTATTTTATTTTAATAAATTTTTTTAGATGAGTCAACAACTCATGTCCGGACATGAAAACATGATAATCTAAAATATCCTACTCAAATTGGCACAATCTTCATTCGTAAATTCCACACACAACAGTGCTCTTAAACTCATTCATGCCCATCCTCATTTAGTTCCCTCTATTTTGAGGGTCAGAGATGAACTGCCTATCCTATTATAAAATATTTAAATAATTAAAATATACATTAGTTTTCTGTATTTATACTTCTTTACAATTTCGTTTTTATGCCCAAAAAGAAAATGTCTTAATTTTTATATGAATATTTATTACACTTTAATTTTTGCCATCTGGAAAAATTACTATTTATTGAATTAGTCACAAAATATTTTTTAATGATGTTAAAATAAAAATATTAAAACATAATAAAATATTATATAAGAATTAAAATATATTTGTATATAAATATTAACTATATATGTGTATTTTAATCTATTCAAATAATAAAATAGTAATTCTATTTTATTTTATTTCATTCTTCTCCATTTCCTTCCTCCTATTTAGCACCCCTTATTAGATATGGAAAGATAGCATAAATGAAGAAAAAGGAGCAGCAAACAATGATTTCTCAATAAAACATCGTTGTTAAAAAAAGAATGCTTTGCTTTTTAACAGTGACTTCATCTCGAAGTCACGTAGCTCCTTGCCAGCTAAATAGAATGTCAAATTGTGTTTACTCTTGATATGTCGTTATTATTTACGTGGGAGGATTTCATAAACTGCAAAATACGTTTTGCTAATGTGAGAAGCGTCGAAAATCAGGAGCATGGTATTAAGAAAGTGGAAATCTAAAACGTAGTATTTGTCGTTAGAAGTTTTGTTAAATTTATTTTTTTCAGACGGTCTTGGAATTTAGCTAAATAACTCACATCTATATGATGGATCGGCCACGCAGTTCCTCACTTTAAAAATTATAATGTAAATATGATTATTTTCTTTATGTAACAATGGGAACAGATTTTGCATATAAATTTAATTACTTTGCTGCTTCTTCCAATTTGTTCCTCAACATCACTTTAACTAGTCTATTGAATTCTTATCTCTTGTCTAATGCCAACTGTACTTATCATTGTAATGGGTAGGATTTTAACCTATGATATCTTTGTATTTTCATCTTATTTTGTTATATTTTTTTTATTGGTTTGGAAAAATTATTTTTGTTCTGATCGACTAATACTAACACATTTTGCAGTTGTCGCTCTTGTGCTGATAAGTATTGTGATTTGGTTAATGCCTGAATGCTTAAGAATATATCAGATTGGTCGTAGATTGGTTACACCAGACAAAGAATTTATGACACTCACCATGGATAAATTTCTGAATGATTTGGAAAGGGAAAAGCCAGTTAGGTTCACTGATCAGCATCTAAAAATTGCAACTGATAACTACTCTTACTTGTTGGGTTCAGGAGGTTTTGGAGCTGTTTATAAGGGAATTTTTAGTGATGGAACCATTGTGGCTGTGAAGGTTCTACGTGGAAGTACTGACAAGAAAATTGAGGAGCAGTTTATGGCAGAAGCTGGTACAATTGGTAAGATACATCATTTCAATCTTGTGAGGCTCTACGGATTTTGCTTTGAAAGAAACTTTATAGCACTGGTTTATGAGTACATGGTGAATGGCTCTCTTGACAAGTATTTGTTTCATGAAAACAAGACCTTAGGATATGAAAAGCTTCATGAGATTGCTGTTGGGACAGCTAGAGGCATTGCTTATTTGCATGAAGAGTGCCAACAAAGAATAATCCATTATGATATCAAACCAGAAAATATTCTTTTGGATAGGAATTTCAATCCTAAAGTTGCTGATTTTGGTTTGGCCAAGCTTTGCAATAGGGAAAATTCGCATTTAACTATGACTGGAGGAAGGGGTACTCCTGGTTATGCTGCACCTGAACTTTGGATGCCATTTCCTGTGACTCACAAGTGTGATGTTTATAGCTTTGGCATGCTTTTATTTGAAATCATAGGTAGGAGAAGAAACCTTGATATTAAGCTTCCTGAAAGCCAGGAGTGGTTTCCAATGTGGGTTTGGAAAAAATTTGATGCTGGAGAAGTTGAGGAGTTGATAATTGCATGTGGGGTAGAGGAGAAGAGTAAGGATATTGTGGAGAGAATGGTTAATTTGGCTCTATCTTGTGTTCAATATAGGCCAGAATTAAGGCCTATAATGAGTGATGTGGTGAAAATGTTGGAAGGTTCAGTGGAAATTCCGAAACCTTCAAATCCATTTCAGCAATTTATGGATGGGAATTTCATTGCTGGTCCAGTTCAAGTGCCAGTGACATATAGTACAAGTACTTGTGGTTCTTCTGTTATGGCATCTGATTCTAGCATTTTGCATGCCACTTCTATTATGAGGAACCATGACATTGAATTAGCCTCCAGCCAGGGCTGATGGGAGGATATATGCTGCCTCATGCAATATTTCCATCGGTTAAATAATCTGTAAAATGTTTTCCTTTCTGCTTGTTTGTTGTTTTGGATCCAATTTATTCATGTCTACTTTTATTTGTTTTTTTTATGATTATGTTCTTTTATATTTAGAGTTAACAACTTTGTATAATCAGTGAAGCAAAGAAGGAAATATTGGTCCCCAAAAATATGGCACGTCATTTAACAACATTGCATTATCACCTATAGCAAACTTTTTAAAGTATCTAAACTTATAAACATCTTTTTTAATGTTTATTCAATGTCAGGAAATAAGAAATTAATAAATAATAATTTTTATTAAAATTATAATATTTGATATTATTAATGTATTAAATGTTATGATATTATGTTTACTAAAAAATATTATAAATATTTTTTCTTACGTACCTTTAATTACACATTTAAAAGCCAATTTATAAATGTGCCAATTTCTACCCCCCCCTGTCTCTCTACGTATTATACAAATAAAATTAGTAAACCACCAAATTTACTACCTTGGTCTTGAGATTATAAGTGTTATATTTTAATCTCTTGCTTTACAGAAACTTTACTGTAAATTTTGCCTTTGTAAAATATTATAATTTTATTTTATTTCCTTTAATAATTTTTTGGCTACATTGTGTTGATAATATTAACAAGCAAAGCGAATAGAATATAATGTTTTATAAAGTCAAAGATATAAAATTTTTATAGTCAGAGTTCGGCATTGTTTCTCAGAGAGTAAATTATACCATGTATGATTAAAATAATATTCTCATTCCAGTGTACTAATTCGTATTCCCATTCTATCGAAATTGGGATAATAGAAAATTTTCATGGAAAAGAAAAGTTTCTCCAGTCAAGAGTCCACCGAAGCAAGGAAACGGATGAAACATGAAAAACAAGCTGAGCTTAGCCAAGACGGTATTGATTCATTTCTTAAATAACAATGGCGTTGACACAATATCTGACCAAGAGCTGCATGACAAACTTAATGCTCTGTTAGCCCAATAACACATGCAAGATCTAAAACTAAAAGGATGAAATCTTAAATGACACACATATGGTCCCCTAGTTACATTGCTGATTTTGAAAAAGAATGCTAACACTAAACTAAAAGAAAAACATTAATTTAAGAATAAAAAGTATAAGATACACATAATTTTTATAGTTTTTAATAAAAGAAGTGTGTTATGAACAAACTCAAAGGAAAGGGATTAAATTGTTTACACATCAAATTGAAGCATGTTTCATAGCACTTGTCTTTTGTACGCTTCTGTTAATTAGTGATGATCATTTGATACTATTTATGTTTAGAGTTAGTGGAGTACTTATTTTTAATGATATTTATGTTTCGGAGTTTCTCAAAGGCTACGTCTCCTAATTAAAAGTGTAAATTAATGACTGTGTACTAACATTCCAACTCTGTTTAGTGAAGTTAATCAGATTGCCAATTTATATTCAACTCTTAGATCTACGTAAATTTTACATTACAGATTTGACGACAGTACATATGCTTCTAGTCTAGAGGAATAAAAGAGAGCATACAATAATTTTTATTAATCGCTCTTATCTCTCTATTTTATAATAATGTAGTTCCTTGTGAATTGACTTGAATGTTAATTTCTGTTTACTCTTGATATGTCGTTATTACGTGGGGTGGGAAGATTCAACGAACTTCGAATGTGTTGATATGAAAGGTTTTAAATATGCTTGTAGTTTTATCGTTAATATTCATTGATAAATTAATTTTTATATTATAAAAATTTACTATTTAATTTTTATACGAATATTTTATTATACTTTAGTCAATATACATCAATAATGTTAAAACTACAGGAATGAAAATGTAATAAAACACTCGCGAGACTAAATTAATTTTTTATATACAGTAATTAATTTGTAATTCAGTATCAACATGTATTTTAAATTGCATAACATAGTATTTTTCATTAGAAGTTTTGTCTGGAATTTCAAGTTTCTTTGGGTTCAGGCCATCTTTGAATTTAGCTAGCTAACTTATTCGATCTGGTATATCTAAATGGTACCAGAGTATTTACTTTGACCCGTGATGATGACATCTAAATGATGGAAATTTACGCGTTATTCCTTCATTTGAAATTTAGGATGTTGATATGTTTTTTTTTTTTTTTTTTACAAGTGGATGGGATTTTTTTTCATATAAGTTTAGCTTATTATGCCTCTCCTCCTCACATTATTCCTCACAATCACTTGAGTATTTTGAATTCTTATCTCTTGTCTAATGTCAACAAGCACTAGTGATGGAACTGAATTTGGGGCGATTGGGGCTGTCATCTTACTTGGTATGATTTAAACCTATGATATATTTTTGTTCTCATATAATTTTCTGTTCTGCCTTGGTTTTTCATTGCTTAAGTCACAAGATTTCTAATTGAACATTAATATTTTGCAGTTGTGGTTGGGGTGAAGGTTGGTATTTTGATTTGTGTGTGCCGAAAAAGAAATCAGAATGATAGTAAAGTGGGTGTAGACTCACAATTTTTGACACTCACTATGGATAAATTTCTGAATGATATGGAAAGGGAGAAGCCAATCAGGTTCACTGGTCAGCAACTAAGGATTGCAACTGATAACTACTCTAACTTGTTGGGTTCAGGAGGTTTTGGAGCTGTTTATAAAGGGGTTTTTAATAATGGAACAATGGTAGCAGTGAAGGTTCTACGTGGGAGTTCAGACAAGAAAATTGAGGAGCAATTTATGGCAGAAGTTGGTACAATTGGAAGAATTCATCATTTTAATTTGGTTAGGCTCTATGGATTTTGCTTTGAAAGAAACTTGATAGCACTGGTTTATGAGTACATGGGAAACGGCTCTCTTGATAGGTATTTGTTTCATGAAAACAAGACCTTAGGATATGAAAAGCTTCATGAGATTGCAATTGGAACAGCTAGAGGGATTGCTTATTTGCATGAAGAGTGTCAACATAGAATAATCCACTATGATATAAAACCAGAAAACATTCTCTTGGATAGGAACTTCAATCCTAAAGTTGCTGATTTTGGTTTGGCCAAGCTTTGTAATAGGAACAATACTCATATAACTATGACTGGAGGAAGGGGTACTCCTGGTTATGCTGCACCTGAGCTTTGGATGCCATTTCCTATAACTCACAAGTGTGATGTTTATAGCTTTGGAATGTTGTTATTTGAAATCATAGGAAGGAGAAGAAACCTTGACATTAAACTTTCTGAAAGCCAGGAATGGTTTCCAATATGGGTTTGGAAAAAGTTTGATGCTGGACATCTTGGGGAGTTAATAATAGTTTGTGGGATAGAGGAGAAAAAAAAGGAGATTGCTGAAAGAATGGTCAAGATAGCTTTGTGGTGTGTTCAGTATAGGCCAGAATTAAGGCCTATAATGAGTGTTGTGGTGAAAATGTTGGAAGGTTCAGTGGAAATTCCTGAACCTATGAACCCATTTCAGCACTTGATGGATGGGGTTGTTGCTCATCCAATCCCAGTTTCAGAGACTTATACAGCAAGTATTTCTCCTGCTTCTTCTGTTATGGTAAATGATTCCAGCTTTGTATGTGCTACTCCTGTTATGATAAAGTATGAGATTGAATTGGCCGCTAGCAGTGTGTGATGGAGGGCATACACTACTTAATGGAAGGTTTCCATGAGTTAAAAGTTGTACAATTTAATTTTTTTTTCTTCTGGTAATTGGATTTTGTTTAATCCATTTTATTTACTCACATGTCCTTTTTATTCTTGGTGATAATGTCCTTTTCATTTTGCTCTGAAGTTTTTGGAGTTTAAAACACAGTGTAATAAGTGAAGCATAAAGGTAATGCATAAATCTGCAACATCATATGTGTGTGTATATATATATATATATATATATCTACAGGACAGGTAAAATGGCCTCCACTTTCCATGTGCATCTCATACATCATCCTTCGCAATTGTTTCCGTAGTCATTTAATTTCTAATCCTATCAATATTATATCATGAAGTTAAAATAAGGTTCTCATTCGTGTTTATTAATTCCTGCATAGTCCCATTATCGTTCCTGAGAAATTCCGTTATATTTTCAAACTAGCATCAAGATATCTGATTTTTGGAAAATGACCAAACAAGGTGACTATGTACACACTTGAATCGAGGAATGAGCACAGGCGTGGCTAGGAAACAACAGATGAAGTGAACTTTTCCAAAAGAAAATGATATTAAACAAAACAAAGTCTTTGTCCCTTTATTATTCAACGTCATTTCTTAGTTTTATGTTGGTGGAGTTCCTTGTCAGTTGCTTAAAATGACAAATGTTGTTTAATCCTGATACGTCGTTAATATCCAAGAAGATTTCGTGAATTATATTTGCCTTTGACTTTTCATATTTAATTAGAAAGAAAAAGGTTCTTTGAGCACCCTATCAAGAGGCATTGTAGGAAACATCACATGGTGTTCTCATTTTTTTAAAATCTTCGATGTGATATGGAGAAAACAAATATATGTAAGAATAATAAAGTTTAACTAATCTAGGGGGATAATACTAGGAAGGTGGACATCTTAAACTTAGCATTTGTAGTTAAAGATTTGGTTCAAAACATTGTTTCTGGCCGTCTTGTAATTTGGCTGGCTAGCTCATTTAATCAAGAATATTATTGGTCAAATTAGTACTTTAGACTGGGAATGACCAGTAAAATTTAGAATCGTTTTGTTAAGGCCCGGTGTTAAATATCTAAAAATAATAACTCTTTACTAGAAAAATATTCATTATATTATAAGTTTAAAAAGTGTAACAAATATTATTTTTTTAAACTTAATACTTTTAGATGTAACTACATATTAAAGTTAACAAAACTGAATTTAGAATGACCACAATCCCTTTATGTTTGAAACTTGAAAGTTCAGATCATGTAGACATCATTCTTTTTCAGAATTGATTTTGCATATAAATTACAAACCTTTACCCTTCCTTCCCTTCATATTTTTCAATTCTTATCAATGAATTAATGTCAAGTATGGAGGAACCAAGTCTATCTTAGCCATTGTAGCGGGTAGGATTTTAACTTGTCATATATATTTTTTAACTTCTTGTTCTATGTTGCTTTTTTTGCATGTCACAAAATTTCTTACTGTATGCTGGCATGATGCAGCAGGGTTAATGTGGTTGACGATTCTTTTGGTTGTTGGTTGGTATAAAAGATCCAAGACCAAGACTGATAGCAACTCAGACATGCAATTTCTGACCCTCTCACAATGGATGATTTCTGAATGATATGGAAAGAAAAAAAAGGCCAACGAGGATTATTTGTTAGGAAGCTAAGGATTGCAACTGATAGCTACTCTAGATTATTGGGTTATGTTTATGAGGTTTATAGTGATGAAACCATTGTAGCTGTGAAGGTCTAACATGGGAATTCTCACAAGAGAATTGAGGAGCGGCTTATGGCAGAAGTGGTTACAGTTTGTATTGTAAGATTCATCAAGAGTGGTTTTGTGTGTTTAGTATAGGCCAGAATCAAGACCTATAATGAGTGATGTGAAAATGTTGGAAGGTTCTGTAGAAATTCCAAAACCTGATAACCCATTTAAGCAAATGATGGATCCATTCCAAGCAACACGGATCAATCCATGTTGATACTACTTGTTAACTCTAGCTCTTATGCTCTCTTATAAGCCACTCCTATAATGAGCAAGTGTTACATTGAATTGACTTCTAATTTAATTCTTCCTATTTTGGTTAAAGCGAACTTAGCATAAATCTATTGGCAGAAACGGAAAAGTTTTGGTACAAATTTTAATAAGCTTATTCCTTCATCATTTGAGTCATTACCAAAAAAATTTAAGGATAATTTAAGGTAATACATATAAAAACCTACTAGCGATAATTATTGAGATGAGTTTTCATTGTTATGATATAATGTTATGCACATGTGCTTGCTTGAGGTAGAATGTTTGATATTATGGATTCCAAAATGTTTAACTAGCAACAATATCCGTACAAATGTATGTATTAAGAAATTTTGAGCGAAAATATAAATTGAGAGGATAAAGAAACATATTTAAAAATAATTTTTTCTTAAGTACCCTAGGACATGTCAATAGAATTGCTTCTCACAGTTACATTAGCTTATTTTCTTTTAAAAAAATCGTATTATCTTGAGCCACTTCGACAAAATGAAAAAAGGATATATCTTACTGTCATGGTTAAGGCATTTAACCACCAATGCTGTGTGTGGGTTTAAATCAAGGTTGACATTATTATCCAAGTAAACTTAATTTTCCAAGAGATAATGACCTTAAATAAAAAAGGAAAAATGAAAATTTCCCTTTGATAATCTTTGTCATTTCTAATTTTATACTACGGCGTTCCTTGTGAACAGAATCGAATGGCAAGTGCGGTTTACTCTTAATATGTCGTTACTCATTGGTAAATAATTAATGATATAGACATTTGCCTTTTGACATTCCATATTTAGCAAACAATAACCTTCTGATCATGTCATGCGGAAGGTAGAAGGAATGTGCAAATATTGAAAGTAGTATTCGGAACTTAACTAACTCATATAGTCAAGCATATCCATGGTCAAAGTAATAAGTAACTTTATTCTTTTATTAATGTCAAAATAATAACTTTAGACCATGGATGAGTAGTATTCTAGTAAAATAAATAAAAAAATGAACACATTCCTCTCTGCTTGAAACTTCAAACTTCATATCATGTATATATGAATGCTTTTTACATTCGATTTTGCTTTGTCTTTGGAGAACAAAGCAATATCATGATGATAGCCTTTGGAGCAGGTAGGATTTGAACCAATTACTTTTTTTTTTCCTTCTAATTCTATGTTGGTTTCTCATTGGTTTTGTGACAAAATTTCTGACTGCTACTACTGAAATATTATTGCAGTTGTGTTACTGTCCTCGGTGATTTTTGTGGCTATAGGTTGCTACAAAAGTTACAAGAGTGGCAGCAAATTAGATTTGCTCAACATGCATAAATTTCTCACACAGATGGAAAGACAAAAGCCAATCAAGTTTACCAGTGAGCAACTAAGGACTGCAACTGATAACTACTCTACACTGTTGGTTCAGGGTTCATGAGGTTTTGGAGCTGCTTTATAAAGGAAACTTTGGCACCAAATTAGCAGTGAAGGTTCTACGTGGGAATTCTGACTAGAAAATTGAGGAGCTGTTTATGGCAGAAGTTGGTACAAATGGTAGAGTTCATCATTTTAATCTTGTTTATCTCTATGGATATTGCTTTGAAAGAGACTCGAGAGCACTGGTTTATTAGTACACGAGGAATGGTTCTCTTGATAGGTATTTTTTTCATGGAAACCTTAGGATATGAAAAGCTTCACGAGATTGCAATAGGGACAGCTAGAGGCATTGCATACTTGCATGAAGATTGCAAGCAAAGAATAATCCACTATGACATAAAACTAGGGAATATTCTCTTGGATAAGAACTTCAATCCTAAAGTTGCTGATTTTGGTTTGGCCAAGCTTTGCAATAGGGAAAATACTCATATAACTATGACTGGAGGAAGGGGTACTCCTGGTTATGCTGCACGCGAACTTTGGATGTCAGCTTCTGTGACTCACAAGTGTGATGTTTATATCTATGGCAGGCTGTTATTTGAAATCACAGGTAAGAGAAGAAACCATGACATTAACTTTGTAGAAAGCCAAGAGTGGTTTCCAAAGTGGGTTTGGAAAAATTTTGATGCTGGAGAAGTGGGATAGTTAATAACTGCATGCGGTATAGAGGAGAAGTATAAGGAGATGGCAGAAAGAATGGTTAATGTAGCCTTGCCTTGTGTTCAGTATCGGCCTGAATCAAGACCCATGATGAGTGATGTAGTGAAAATGTTGGAAGGTTCTCTGGAAATTCCAAAACCTTTGTTCCCATTTCTGCAAATGATGGATGAGGCTTACCCTGTTCTTCCAATCCAACCATCAAGGACTGATGTTAATTCAAGTCTCAATTCTCACTCTCATGCTATGGTATCCGAATCTGACAATGCATATGCCACTCCTATGATGAGTAAGGGTGACATTGGATTGGCCTCTACCAATGGAGATGAATGAGACAGGGTATTTGATTTATGTTTTACATTGCTTTAAAAAGTTAAGAATTTCTTCTTTACTACTAATTTCATCCTGTTGTATCTATATATGTGTGCTTTATTTTTTGGTAATAATATGCTTTTCCCTCCTGTATTATTTAAAATAAACATATGTATTGAGTGAAGCAAAGAAGTATAGGCAAGTCAATAGCTAGAGTAGGACCTATTGGAAAATACTAATAAGTTAACCATGATTGGAGGAAGGGGAATTCCTAGTTGTGCCGGCCCAATCAGCATCACTATAAGCTGTGAGCTGTAAAGATTTACCAAAGGGAAAATACAACCCATGCATAGTAGTGCCGAGGAGGTAGCGAATAATACGACGAACAGTAGCAAGATGGAGATATCGAGGAGAGGACATAAATTGACTAACTTGGTGAACTGCATATGAAATGTCAGGGCGAGTGATTGTTAAGTATATAAGACTTCCAACCAAACGTCGATAAAGAGTAGGATCAGGCAGCAAATCTCCTACAGTTTTGCTGTGTTTCACATTGACTTCCATAAGAGTATCCACCGAACTAGCACCATGTAAACCTGCCAAAGCCACAAGGTCTTGGATATATTTATATTGATTCACAAAAATTCCATTTGACTGATGATGAACTTCTAGACCCAAAAAATATGTGAGATGACCCAGATCCTTCATGTGAAAAGTAGAATTAAGCATTTCTTGAAGCTTGGAAATTAAGCTTCTATTTAAGCCGGTGATAACAATATCATCCACATAAATTAAAAGAAGAATTATCCCTGTAGAAGACTTATGAAAGAAAAGAGAATAATCATTGTGACTTTGTGAAAAAGAAAAGTTGAGAAGTGTATGACGAAACTTCTCAAACCAAGCGCGAGGTGCCTGCTTAAGTTCATATAAGGACTGTTTTAATCTACAAACATTCTGAGAAAAAGAAGTAGACAAACCAGGAGGAAGATTCATGTAAATTTCTTCATTAAGATCACCATGTAGAAAAGCATTCTTCACATCCATTTAATGAAGTGGCCAAGACTGAGATGCAGCAATAGCAAGTATAGTTCTAACAGTAGTTAATTTAGCCATAGGAGCAAATGTCTCATCATAATCAATTCCATATTCTTGCTTATTACCAAGAGCCACAAGACGTGCTTTATAACAATCCAAAGAACCATAAGAATGTAGCTTAATAGAAAAAACTCATTTACTCCCAATGAGTTTAATATTCGATGGACAAGGAACAATGTCCCAAGTTTGATTCTCTTTAAGAGCCTCCAATTCCGCTTGAATAGCCTGTTTCCAACACTCTTGTTCTATTGCCTGTTTATAACTTGATGGAACATAAATAGAAGTCAAAGTAGTACTAAAGGATACATGGGAAAGAAAACCATACCAATTTGGAGGTCTAAATGGCCGAGTGGATCACGAATAGGACGCACGACAGGATCTTGTGCCGAGCTAGGGTCTGGATGAGAGCCTAACTTGTTACGACGTCTTTCATACACAACACTAGGTTTGAAACGTTCCACCGTGGTTGAATCATTTGAAAAGTGAGGCATAAGCGAAAGTGAAGAAGATTGTGGTTCAACATATGATTGAAAAAAAATTGTTTTTTAAAAAATATAACATTCCTAGATACTTTCATGCGACGAGCAAATGGATCATAACAAACATAACATTTTTTTGAATTAGAATAACCCAAGAAGGCACACTTAACTAATTGAGCAGCAAGTTTATGACCCTCATGAATAGGAAGATGCACAAAACAAACACAACCAAATGTACGAAGACTAGAATAAGAAGGAGTATATCCATGCAACTTATGAAATGGTGAAATATTACCTAACACAGGAGATGGAAGACAATTTATTAAATGAATTGTAATAGAAAGAGCTTCACAACAAAAACGAAGAGGAACAAATGATTCAAGAAGAAGAGTTCGAACAACATCAAGAAGGTAACGATTCTTTCTTTCGGCTATGCCGTTCTGTTATGGTGTTGAAGGACAAGAGCGTTGAAAAATTATTCCCTTGTTTTGTAGAAAGGCCTGAAATTTTTTAGACATATATTCCCCACCTGAATCAGATCTCAAAATTTTTATATGCTTTGAGAATTGAGTCTCAATGAAGGCTACAAAACGTTTAAAAATTGAGAAAATCTCTGTTTTAGACCAAAGAAAATACACCCATGTAAAGCGACTGCAATCATCTATGAAAGTAACAAAATACTTAGTGTGCATGAGAAATAACAAGAGCAATACCCCAAATATTACTATGGATTACATCAAAACATTCAATTGCATGGAATGAATTAGAAGGAAAGGGCAGAACTTTACTTTTTCCCAATTTACATGTGGTACAATCAAAGAAAACATCAAGAATGTGAGAATTTTTATTGCCCAATGAACCAGATTTAAGCAAGGTACAAAGAATGTAAGGATTGGGATGGCCTAAACGCTTATGCCACTCTTGGTTACCAATTTTTGCATCAATACAAGCAAGTGAGAGTAAAGAAAATCTAGGAGAAGTTCCAGAAAGAGGAAATCTAGGAAGTTGTATAGGAAAGAGTCGTCCCACTTTAGGCCCTTTTGCGATTATTTTCCCCGACACTTGATCCTGCACAATACAACCAAAAGAAGAAAATTGCACATTACAATCATGGTCTACTAATTATCCAATAGAAATAAGATTAGTAGATAGTCCAGGAGACACAAAAACATTAGTCAGAGATGGAGAAATATCACTAACAACACTTATATCCAGAGAATTTCCATTAGCAGTATGTATTTTTTGAATTCCATCATATTTTTGAACATTGGACAGAGGTATAGTTGTATTTGTCATATGATTAGAGACTCCAAAATCAATATACCAAGGCAGAGAATGAGAATTGGAACTACCTGAGAATCCAAATGCAGGAAAAGCAGAAAGTATCATCTGTTATACCATTTCAGGAGTTAGTGTATTTGGATTTTGAGACGAGGTAGAAGGTGTAGTTGTATCATGTTCGATCATAGGAGTAGCAGCAAAACTTGACGCACCAATTGACGCATGATATGCAGTTCCTTGCCTCCTTATAGGTCATGTGGGACACGAGGAAATGATGTGTCCCCGTTGTTTGCAATAATTACAAAATTTCTGTGAACAATCCTTTGCGATGTGACCAAATCCTTTACAACTATAGCATTGAATACCACGTACATCTTTCCCTTTGCTTCTTCCTTGTGCTGCATAGGCTACATTAATTGGGTCATTAGCATTAGCTTTCTGTTCCATTGATGCTTGAGTTAGTAAGTGTTGTTCTTCTCGAAGAAGTGCACTCAAACAAGCATCTAAGGAAGGTACAGGATCACGGTCCATCAGATTAGAATGAGCCACTTCAAAGTCTGGACGCAACTTCATCAAAAATTGGTTCCTCTTACTGGATTCATGTACTTTTATGATAGCAGTGAGAGCTGCATCAGGAACATCACCCTGAACAATATCTGAATATTCTCCCCAAAGGTTCTGAAAAGCAGAGAAATATTCTTCTATTGAAAGACTTTTTTGTGTGAAATTTGTTATCTCATACTCAAGTTGAAATTTTCTTACTAAGTTTTCTTGATGGTAAACCTTTTTAAGATATTCCCACATTTTCTTGGCAGTCTTATGAGGTCTCAAATTGAGAACAATGTGAGGCTCTACTATGCTGATTATCCATTCATGACACGAGCATCCTTAATTTCCCATTTTGCCAAGGCCTTTGCATCTTTGGGAGCTGGATCTTTCCCATCAATATGACCCCTAATTCTTTCCCTTTCACAAACAATTTGAACTAAAATTCCTAAGCAAAGTAATTTTTTTCATTAAAACGAATATGGAAAGATTCTACTTTCTCACAAGACATGATGCACCACGAAAACACAAAAGCAACAACTAAGAAATGGGTTGAGATATGTCCAAGACACAAATAACCAGGACAAAAAAACTGACCACGTTTTAGAGTTTTAGCTCTGATATTATGTCAGAAAAATACAAGACACATAAAAAGATAATAAGCTAGAGTATTTCTGTGATAAGATTGTTTGCCTTCCTTGAGGCCCTGTCTCTCTTTAAATATTAATTGTGAAACTATACAAAAAGGAATATGCTGTAAATGTTCCTCTAATACAGCAGATTTTCAAGGATTATAAACAACTTCCTAAAACTGATATCTATATACGGTAATAAAATAATTCTACAATAAACAATTATCAATTACAATAAATATGTACAGCTGTATTGAGATATTGATAGTGCGGCACCTGAACTTTGGATGCCTTTTCAAGTAAATCACAAATGCAGGTTTGGAATGCTTTTATTTGAATTCACATTGTCCATTCTGGCTCTCATGTGATGGTAATCGCATCCTGCATTTTTTGTGCCACTCCTACTATTGTTATGAGGAGGTAAGACAATAAAACAGGCTCTAGCAGAGGGGCATAAGAGAGACACATGCTTGTTGATGGAAGGTTTCCGTAGCTTAGATTATGTTGTAAAATGTTTTCCTTTTTTCTAATTTGATTTTTTTGTACTTTCTATTTTGATTGAAAAATGAAATCAAACATCTCTTTAAATTCTACATGAATTTGAAAGAGATACTTGAACTCAATATATATCTTATGCAAAGATTTGCTCCTATCTTATAATCTTAGGCTTTACTTCTCTGAAAAGTGGAGTTCTTACCTACTAGAATGACCTTAGCTGGCTGAAGCTTGAAAACCACCAAAGTATACTCTCAGCCAAAAGAAAATGTGAGAGATGCTTACAAGACATGATACATTGTGCTTGGCTTTGGGTCAGCGAATTGTATGATTGATTCTATTCTGCAGTTGAACAACAAATTGAAGACACAAGAAATAGAGCATAGTTCTATTATTTTGGTGTGATACAAACTTTCAGAGGTTTTAGTTTAGGCACCAAGAGTTGGATAGCAGAATGTGCATTGTAATTTTCAACAAAGCTCAAACCATTCTCACTTTGTTTAAATGTACAAAATTAAATAGAATTTATATTTTACAGCAATCACTATACTATCATGATACAGTTAAGTAGGCTTTTCAATCTGAAATGCATTGTTATTGGTTTTGGAGCCAGATACTCCGGAAGATTCTGTCTGCCATGACGTAGTAGTATCTGAACCTCCAGTGCTTCCTTCTGGAGTCAAGTTTGGTTTATTGGACACCAGATTTTGGAAGGGAGGTGGAGGTGGAGAAATTTCAATTTCACCCTCCAACATCTTCACCACAGTACTCATAAGAGGTCTATCATCTGGCAAATACTGAACACACCATAGAGCTACCTTTAACATTCTCTCAGCCTTCTCTTTGTCTCTCTCTTCAATTCCACAAAGTGAAAGCATTACAGATAACTCATTATTCTCAAACATATCCCATGTCCATTTTGGAAACCATTGCTGTGATTCACTGTAGTTACAATCAAAATGCCTTCTCCTCCCTACAATTTCAAAGAGAAGAATACCAAAACTATACACATCACATTTCTTAGTCACTGGATGAGGCTTCCACATTTCTGGTGCAGCATATCCTCTTGTTCCTCTAAAGTGTGTATTGACTGCAACATTACTTTCTCTGTTGCTAAGCTTTGCCAGGCCAAAATCTGCTACCTTTGGTTCCATTTTCATGTCAAGAAGAACATTCTCTGGCTTAATGTCATAATGAATTATTCTCTGTTGACATTCCTCATGTAAATAAGCAATTCCTTTAGCCGTTCCAATTGCAATCTCATGAAGCTTTTCCAACGCGATGTCGCGGTTCTGGCTGCCAAACAAGTACCTGTTTAGAGACCCATTTTCCACATATTCATAGACAAGGGCTCGTTTGTCACGGTGGAAACAGAAGCCATAAAGTCTAACTAGATTGACGTGGTAAGTTCTTCCAATGGTGCTAATTTCTGCTTTGATTTGCTCTTCCATTTGCATATCTAAACTGTTGATAACTTTGACTGCTACATGCTCTCCATTTGACAATTCCCCTTTGTACACAACTCCAAAAGCACCAGAACCCAATATGATTGAGTAGTTCCATGTAACTTCATCAAGTTGTTCTGGTGAGAATCTAATTGGTTTCTCTTTGTTGATGTTGCTTAAGAACCTTTCCATAGTTGCAAACTCAACTTTTGAACCTTGAACAGTGGAATCTGGTGGTATTATAACTTCAATTTTACTTGAAGGAAAGGAATTTGAAGCTTTATGAGTTTTTTCTATGGTTGGAAGTTGAGTGTAAGATGGAATTGCTGCTCCTGTCTTCTTCAAGCAATCAATGACGGCATAAACTATTGCTACAATTGCTATCATTACCACCACTCCAGAAACTGAAAATTGAAATATCACATAAATACACAAGTTAAAGCTGTTCGAAATTCTAATTCAGAAGACTATAACACAAGTTTAATTTGAAGCTATTTGCCCTTTTTCTTACTTTCATTTTGTCATTGCAATAAGCATTTACCATTTAATCTCTGAAGCTATACTTTTTAGTATAATTTAATATACCTCAGATCCTAAACTGGTCAATATTGTATACATCTAAAAAGAGAAATTGAAACCAATAATCGCTTTGCAAGTTGCAGTGAAAAGGAAATATGAAAACAGGCCCAACAGAAATATGATAAGTGCTTACCAACTGAGCCTGCCACAGCCCATTTCACAGAGGAATTAAAATTGTCAAAAGTGGTTTGCGCTTGAGTGTCAAAATCGTTTGATGAAGAGTAGAAATCTGGAGGAGAAAAGCGAAAACTCATGTTTATTCTCTAATGTGCAGGAAATTAAGCTTCAAGAAAAGAGTTAATGGTCGAATTTTGGAGTTGCAAAAGATTAATATTACATAGCATGCAAATGCAAAGGGATATGCAATTGTTGAGGTATATAACATGTATGGGAGTGTGAAATAATTTAAGTGTTTGACAAATGTGTTTTCTGACAAAGTCTTATATAAGACTTTATAGCACATTATGGTCCAGTTTATTACGAGCATGACTCATTTGTACTACAAATCTTTGACCATTTTATCCACAAAACGCGTTTTGCTTAGTTGCGTCGAAATTGCACCATGAAAATATGGCAACGCGTAGCATGGAACATTTTAAAACTGGTATATTGTGGACCATTATGGTTCAGTTTAATGTTGTATTAATGCATTGGCCTATGGGAAATCGTTAAGAACTTTCCTAGTACAGTGAATGGGAAAGAGGGAGAAGTAAGATAGAGAACACATTTTGCTTTCAAAATATTGTGAATTTATACCCTAAGTTAAGGAAAAATGGAAACAAATATAAATTATAATAGAGCATTGGAGAGAAGACAATTCACGGTTATAATATCTAATATAGCTCACAATTGACATAGCTTAGTCCCTATGATTAAATTATTTATCAATGAGTGAGAAATAATTTTAAAAGGAATATTGTAAAAATAACATACTTACAAGAAAAGGTGAAAGCTTTTTTTTTTTTTTTTTTTTTTTCCAGAATTCTGTGAGCTTTGTGTGGGCTGCACAAAATACTTGTTTAGATTGCCAATTAATCAATCTGAGTCATCCATTTAAATAAATATTACGAGTTAATTTAAATAAACGTCTTAACATGATCTTTTAGGAGAGAAAAATAAAAATAATAAAACAAAATAATCATATTTTTCATAAATTAAAAGTCTAAAAATTATGCAATTTTTTTTTCAGAAACTTTATCTTTTAACTTCTATATAAGTTGATCATAATTTTAATATATAATACAAAAGCTTAATTTATATCATCTCTTTATTTTATTTTTTATAAATTATTTGTTAAAAACTTTATCCAAATTGTTGACTTTATATTTGGACCTTATGCACTATAGGCGTTACCAAAAAGAAAACATTAAAAGACGCAGACAAAAGAGGTGTAGAGAGGATATTTGTAAATAAAACCAAATAACTTCACTTAAATTTTGACTTGCTCACGATCAAGGTACATGTTAATAAGCTCCCTAGATAAACTAATTACATTCTAAGTGACTTGGTAGAAATATGAAGATGCAATTACTTCAGTAAATACATCATTTGTGAACAGGAAACAGACAAACCTTAAAGTATTAAATTAATTGTGAGACATACTTTTGTAGAAAATAAATAACTTTGGCACATTACGGACAACTTGTGTACAAGGGATCTTTTGAATTGTACTGGATAGAGAACTGTTCGGTCTTACATATAGGAAAAGGAAACTGAGTACCTATTCGGCCCAGTCTGGCCAGATACTTTAGTATCGTGATTAAGAGGTAATTAACTCGATTAATGTTAATAATTAGAGTATTATCTACTTTAAGCAAAGGGCCAAAATCAAGGATGATTCATTAAGCCCATAATAAAGCCTATAAAAGGAAGGTAGGAAATACAGGTAAATGGTTGACTTTTCATTATTAAATACCATTTATTACTCAGAATCGAATCTTGACTTCAGCATCGGAGTGCCTTTTGCAGATACACTCCCCACGTCAGCGACAGTCAGAAGGACGTCATTGTTTCAGAGCAGAGACTTGAAGATCAGTGTTTCTCTAATAAGAACATTTTGGCACCCACCGTGGGGCTCGAACCCACGACCACAAGGTTAAGAGCCTTGCTTATTCGATCAATATGGTACTAACAAGAAGCCAACAGGATGGACATGTTCAGCAGGGGAAACTTCTCGACAAGAAGATATCACACCCACCCAACCGACACCTGAGGTTCTGGTAGAAGCAGGAACCGATGAAGGCCTTTTAGCGGTGTTAATGCATCTCAAAACAAAAATGATGGACATGAAAAAGGAAAGGGAAAAAGATGCCCTGGAGCTCTCGGTCTTGAGAATGGAAAATGCCCACTTAAGAGAAGAAATAAGAACACACATCCTTTCCCAAACTACACCTCTCGCTCAGGATCAGGGGGAGTCCTCGGCGTTACAAGAAAAACTAAGAATACAGCAATCTGAAACTAAGAATGACCGAGATGATGTAGTGAGTCGAAGCCCATTTGTTCACCATATTTTGGATGCTAAACTACCGGACAATTGAAGAGGCTTAACAATAGAAAAATATGATGGCACAACTGATCCCGGGGAACATCTAGATGTTTTCACAATTCAGGTAGGCCTGTACACGGAGAATGACTCCTTATGGTGTAGAATTTTTCCCACTTTGTTAAGAGGACCAGCTCTCGCTTGGTTCACCCGACTCCCTCCGTCATCTATTGACTCCTTCACAACCCTCACAAGATGGTTCAATTTACAGTTCGCTACAAGCCGACCTCACCCCTTGACATCCCTAGCTCTTGTCAATATTCGACAGGAAAGAGGAGAATCACTTCGAGCGTTCATGGAACGATTTGGCAAAGTGACCCTCTCCATCTACCATTTGGAACCAGCAGTGGCCATGCACCACCTTACAACGGCCCTTACGCTTGAGCCTTTCGTTAACAGCATCTGCAAAAAACCACCAGCTAATTTGGATGAATTGAGGAGTAAGGCAGCAAAGTACATGCAGATGGAAGAATTAGCCGAATACCGAAATCAAATTCGCATGGACCAGGGGTCCAATTCAAAAAATCCAGATAAGAGAGAAACTTTCAAACCCTGGCAAGAAAATAAAAGAAAGGATGAGCCCGAGAGGCCGCCTAGGGGGACAAAATACCCCTCTTACAGTATACTCAATGCCAACAGATCCAGGGTACTTGATCAGGCTTTAGCAACAGAAATCCTGACCATGCCAAGACGCACAAACACCCCCCTCGGGCAGATAAGAGCAAATCTTTCTAATATCATCGCAATAGGGGTCATACGACAAAGGAGTGCACGACCCTAAAAGATAAAATAGAAGATTTGATCAAAGATGGGCACCTTAGAGGATTTGTTCAAACAAACCCTACCAGTTACACCGAAAGGGGGAGAGATCGGTATCCTTAATCCTCAAGAAGGTATGAGAATAAGCAGCTTGAGAGACAGCGGAGCAGGTCAAGAGAGCCTCCTGTAAGAAGATCTAATGAACGAGAAAAAAAATACCTGAAGAGGGTGATCAACACCATAGCTGGTGGGTTTGCAGGTGGAGGACCCACTCATTTGGTTAGAAAGAGGCATCTCTGTTAATAACATTTCATTGGGCAGCAGAATCTGAATCCCGCCTATCACATTTACAGATGATGACTTTCAAGAAGTGGATCCGGTACAGGATGATCCCATGGTCATTAGTGTAGACATTCTTAATTGCACTGACCGGAAAACACTAATTGACCAGGGGAGCTCGACTGACATTCTGTATTAGAATACGTTTAAACAATTAGGCATCCCAGAAGAAGAGCTCAGAGAATATCATGAGCCGCTGGTGGGTTTCTTTGGGAAACGAGTGGAGACTCGGGGTTGTATTGACCTGTACACCTCGTTCGGGTCAGAGCACGAGGAAAAACGTATAAAAGTCACTTATCTTGTAGTGCATGCGAATACCTCCTATAATATACTGCTCGGCAGACCATCCCTAAACAAATTGAAGGCCATAGTATCTACTCCACACTTGGCCATGAAGTTTCTGTCTAAAAGGGGTGGAATCGTTACAGTCCACACTAATCAGAAAACGGCTAGAGAATGCTACTTTGCAAGCCTACCTCTTAAGCCTTTTCATGGGGGTAGCCGAGATGTCAATATTGTATCCCCTTGGTTGGGAGAGGAATTGGATGTTGAACTTGATCCTAGAGTGGATGAGGGGTATAGGGTGGAGCCCAATGAAAACAAGCAGCCTTTCCAACTTGGACCGAAGCCTGAACAGGTCACTTATTTGGGATTCGGTTTGCTATACAAGAGAGGCAGGCCTTTCAGGAAATATTGCAACATAATGCTGATTTGTTTGCTTGGTCAGCTTCAGACATGCCCGACATTGACCCTGCATTTCTCTGTCATCACCTATCATTTTATAAAGGGGCCAAACCGACAGCATAAAAGAAAAGGAAGATTGGCAGGGATAGAGCAAAGGCAGTAGAGGAGGAAACTAGTAAGTTGCTATAGGCCGACTTTATCTGAGAGGTTAGATATTCAACTTCGTTGGCCAATGTAGTCATGGTTAAAAAAGCAAATGGTAAATGGTGAATGTGCACAAACTTTACAGACCTGAATAAGGCATGCCCAAAGGACGCATACCCTCTACCAAATCTTGATTCCCTGGTAGACGGTGCAGCCGGTCACCGGGTACTTAGTTTTTGGATGCCTATTCTGGATACAATCAAATACGAATGTATCCTCCAGATGAAGAGAAGACGACATTCATCACAAACTCAGCAAATTTTTGCTATCGAGTAATGTCATTCGACCTAAAGAATGCAGGGGCAACCTATTAGAGGCTAATGAATAAAATTTTTGAAAAACAAGTGAGAAAATGCATGGAGATATATGTAGATGACATGGTGGTAAAATCTACTGCATTGAAAAATCATTTCACTCACTTAAAGGATGTGTTCGGGGAAGCCAGGCGACATGGAATGCGATTTAACCTAGAAAAGTGTACGTTTGGTGTAGCTGGTGGTAAGTTTTTGGGGTTTATGTTATCAGAACGGGGGATCCAGGCGAACCCTGACAAGTGCCAAGCCATTATTGAGATGACTAGTCCTCGAAACGTCAAGCAAGTTCAAAGACTCACTGGTCGTATTGCTGCCTTGGCTAGATTTTTGCCCATCATGGCAGAGAGATCTCGGCCTTTCATTAATTTAATTAAAAAATCCCAAAAATTTATTTGGACCGACGAATGTGAAACTGCCTTCATACAGTATAAAAATATACTAGCAGCACCGCCTGTTTTGGCAAAACCGAAGCTTGAAAGGGAGATAATTATTTACTTGGCCGTCTCAAAAAATGCCATAAGTTCAGTCTTATTACTAGAAATGCCTGAACCGGTCCCTATCTACTTTATTAGCTGAGCACTC